GACTTTAATGCCCACTTCTAATTCCAGGATCATGTCCGCTAAACTTAATAGTCCGGAGGTGCTAGGTGGAATGAAGAAATTGATGTCACCGGCCGATCCGTTGTCCGTTAAGATGGTAGTGGGGTTGAGCTTCTCATGCTCGGTGCGCTATCCGTCCGTTAAAGTTGCCGGTAATGCAAAGAGTTGGTTCTCCAGCTGCATGGCCGGCTCCAAATTTTCCATCATCAACATGGCTATTTTTTTCAGAAGAAATCGGGGATATTGGTAGGAGGAATACGTTTAACTCTTTGAACTTTACGTCGAACTCGTCGTTTTTTCCGGACACCTTCACCTTCTTGAGAAGCGAATCGTTTTCCAATGGCTGTTCCCGCACGCGAGGCTACCTCTTTAATAGCCCCGGTCGCCGCTTCTTGCAGGTGAGGGGTAGCCGCTTCAAAAGCGGCTTTGGCATGCGGTGCTGCTTTCCGTAATATGGGTTGAACAAATCCTGATAGCTTGGCAAACAGATTTTTCAAAATTTGGGGAAACCCCGATCCGTTTTGGAGGGTTCCTCGATAACGGATCAGTGCGCTGCCACCCGTTTGACTGACAAAGACGTTTTCGTATCGCCGGGGATCCGGCACGTACGCCACGAGAGGCATTCTAATATAGTCGTTGTGGTCGGAAATGCAGCTTTACCAGAGATTTTCCGGTTTGGAACTTGGCGTCGTCTCCCAGGTCATTGGCAATGGTCAGTTTAATGGTTTCGAAGTGTTGTCGTAATACAGGGACGTAGTGCGGAATGTCGAATCTGGCCTCGACAATTTGATTGACTTCTCCTCTAATAGGCACGGAACGCAAAAACTGCGCTGCGGTATCGCCGATCAAGCTGTAGTCGGCCACATCACTAGACAAACAGGCTCTGATTTCCGAGTAGGGTATTGACCGGTCGCTCCGAAATAAAGCTGGTCAATTTGGGGTTAGGGGGCTTGGCCAGAAATGATAGGTACTGGATACTGACGTTCTTCGTTTCAAATGGAAATGGACCGGTCATTCCATTGCTGTTACTTTCCATTGGTACATCCGGTTTTAGTACATCATGTTCAAATCCGAGCATTTTCTGTAGGACTATCGACGACGGAGGAAAGACAATAGAAACCCGATCGTTACCAATATTCAATCGGACCCGATGATCGGTGGCGGTCAGCAGTTGAACGGTGAAAGCTCTGTCGGCAGTCAAGGCGCTCTTGTCAGCGTGTACTGTGTCGTCCACCATGTACGATCCCACTTTGGGTACCAGTGAATTGATGGTTTTTAATAGCAAATCGGCATCCTTGTAATTTCCAGGAGGGATAGTGATCTCGTCGGTATGGACAACTTGGTCCGCGGCCTCCAAAAAATTCGCTTCATCTTTCTTTAATCTGAATTCTTTAACGATGTGCACCTCAATCTTTTGCTCAACTGGAAGAGTAAAAAAGGAGTTGAGGTACTGTAATTCAACCAGGGCCATTTCCCATTTTCCTTTCAGGGTAATGGGATGCTTCAGTTTGGTCGTCCAATTGGACGGGGTGTTGCTGGGGTCCGTAGCCACATCGCTCGGCAGCGTCACGTAGAACGGTGCTCGTTCATACATGATGCCTTTATCCAGGAATCGTGTTCAGGTCCGTAACCTAACCACCGTACTAATATCTTTTCTCCACGGCGCTTAATAACGCGGTCGAGGGTATGTTCCTTCTGTTCCGGTTGCGATACTTTGGAAAGTTCGTGTTCGTAGAATGTTCCTTGGATAGGCTGGTCTTAGTAATCCTGTAGTCCGTATAACGGTACTGTATGCGATATGACTTTACTAATGTAGAACACCTCCTCCTTAAATCGATACGTATAGCCTTTTTCCACCTTTGTTTTGTGCACGGCAATGCGAACCGCATCACCGACTTTGAACCGAGGTCGCCGGGTCTTATTCATAGGATACAACTTGTTGAACACTGCCAATGAATTGTGTTGTGTGACGTCAATGGGTCGCAATCCATGGGCTCGATGTTTCGAATGGTTATACGAGTACACAAAATCTTGCAGTTTGTCAATGTACCGCGTCGACACTCGCGCTCGGAACAGGCGAAACATCCGTGTTTTGATGGTGCGAATGACGCGTTCGGCCATGGCACATTTTATGTCTTCGTTTTCCGATGTGAAGAAATGAATCTTTTTTTCTTTCAGAAAAGTCTTGACGGTGGCGTTTACAACTTCGGTTCCTTTATCGTATTGCAGCTTCTCCGGTTCGCCGAGTTCTTCAAAGGCCTGTGACAAGGCGTTTTTGGTTTCTTTGGCCGTTTTGGTTTTCATTGGTTGAATGCTTAGCTTTTTGGAAAAGCAATCAATCACAAAGAGAAGGTGTTTGAATCCGTCATTTTCTTTGGAATATTTTGACAAATCAGCCAGATCCGCTTGATACTGCTGGCGAAGGTTGGTCACTACGATCCGATTGCGCGCAAACCGCCGGCGATTTTCTTTGGTCACAGTGTACGCATCGATCTCCTGCAGAATCTCCTGTGCTTTCCGTCTGTTGGCTCTGGTCTTGAGACTTCTTCGAAACCTTTCTACGCTTCCAAGACCGCCGGGGTCGCGTGGGTTGAGGTATCGCTTCATTAGCTTCTCCATCTGCTTTGTTACAACAGGTGGACACGCAATTGATCTTAAATATTCGGCATAATCGTAATACACTAGGCAGCAAGCTAGCCATTACGTCAGAGTAATCCACTGGATTCTGGACGCACCCGATCCTTTTTGAATAGTACGGGAGCGCAGCTTCCTCACACTGCCTCCAATCTGGTCCGCTTTTCTCTTTTTACCGTGAAAGGGAGTGGTGACCGGAAATAGAGGTCGCCGCGGTCGCTTGTATGGATATGTTGGGTTCACCTTGTCTTCGGGCTGCCGTTTCCGACCTTTCCGCGGTGCTGTCGGGGCAAACAACGCTATGCGCGCTGTTTTGGTTGGTCGCACTTCACCGCTGTCGTCTTGAAAATACCGCTTGCGTCCTTTCTTCGGCAGTGTTGGTGGAAACAAAGCAATGCGTGCTGCCTTTGGTCTATTGCTGTCTTCCGTATCGTTTTCCAAGTCCCGCTTTTGGCCTTTGGTAGGTAGATCTGACGGAAATAATGGTTGTCGAGGCTGCTTAGCAGGCTTCGTTGACTCATCGGTTTCTTCCAACAGTTTACGCTTGCGAGGTACTGGATGTGATGGGAGCGACGAAACTGTTGGCGGTCGTAGCGCTCGGTGTGCAGAGGCTACCGGCTGCTTTTCGGAAGCTATCGGTGGTGGTTGTGCGGCAACGTCAGTTGATAATTCCAAAGGATTTTCATCGGGTAGGGCTTTTTGTTTAAGAGCGAGGAACCGTTCCAGAATGCTGCTTAACTGGCTAGCTTTTTCAAATTCACTTATATCGGTTCGTTGCAGTGTTTTCGCCACTAGCGCATCCAACGTTATGACACTGTGAGCTTCTGGGGGCTCCTTGTTGATCTGGAGCTGGTTCTGCATCCGGTTCTCCATCACACGCCGTGGTACTATGAAGAATTCATCCATTGCCGATCAACGATGTTAAAACTCCAGCAATGACAGGTAAGATGGCTCCAGTGAATCCTCCTTGTTGAAATATTTTCCGTTTTTCTTTGAGCGGATACCGGCGCAGGGCAATCAGCTTTAATGCTTTCCGGTGGCGTTTACATTTCTCTGCCCGCGCTGTAGACAAATTCACAGTATTTTTTACAATGTTGACAGCGACCTCTTCCAGTGCTTTTAGTTGGGTCTTGGTCAGGTAGCTCATCAAGACCTTGCGCTGCTGCGGCTTTAGGTGTTGAAGAGTAATTATGAAAGGTGCCAGAGCTTTCACGCGTTTGGACATTTTGGCAGGTCGTTGGTACGGTTTCGGTCGAGATAAATACGCATCTGTTGATTCGGTAGCACGTGCGAACGATCCCTTAAATAGTCGAAGCAGTTGGGGCGTAAGTCCAAGACAAGCGGTTGATATGCCTCTGTTGTGACTTTATTGTATGCGTCCACCAAATGCTTGTGTCCTGTTTGACGAGCCAATAAGGAGATCTGATTGATATCACGCACGTTCTTAAATAGTACCAGGTACTGGGAGTTCAGCATTATGTCCCGCATAGTCTTTCCTTGTTTGTACAGGTTTTGAAGGAGCATGATGACAGAAATATTCTTATGATGTATTCCACGGGTAAAGAGGTCCGAGCACCGCACGTCTTTACACAGATCCGTAGCCAGGCCATCAATGACGACTAAAGTATGGTTGTCGCTATCGATAGATTGCACCACTGAGAAGAGGTCATCCAAACCATGTAGGAACTCAACTTGTGCAACGTCTTTTCGTAGTTCGTCAAAACCTTTCTGCCACTGACCATAACAATATAGTATCCGAGTTGGTGGGCGATCGAAAACCGCTGAACTGTTTTTTAGCAACGTGAAAACAAACTGCGTTTTACCCGACATTGTAGGTCCACAAACACACATACCAAAAGAAACGCAAAAGCGCGGATAATCATTTATTATTCCAAACATTTTTGATTCCGAAATAATTCACACCAGTAAGCTCGACGGCTTAAATAAGCTATTTATGCAAAAAACATTTTAATTTTTTCCAAAATCAGCTGACGGCAAAGCGGGCATTCCTGTACGCGACCAGCACATTCGGTGCAACAAATTGCATGCCCACACGGTGAAAAACAGATTGAAACGTTTTTATTCAAACATACGCTGCACTCCTTTTCCAGCTGACAGTTTTCGTCCAGTCGTGCTTCGATGATACGGGCCTTGATTTTATTTGCCGCTCTCACGAGGTCCTGGATGCGGTTGAAACGTTGAAACTGTTGGACAGCCTTTATTAGGTACGTGTAATGCACACCTTCGTCCCTGGCGAGCGCCACCAAAAAATCCATTCGATTCTTGCGCAGGCTACCCGCCCACTTCAGTTTATCCATGTTGTGAAACCGTCGAACCTCCTGAATGAATCACAGGCCTTTCTTCTCCAATAAATATTCACACCGAGGTTCATATTTGGCTTGCTCGATCCACGGGTCGTCATCGCGTGTCCACTGCATCAGTTTACGCCCGCAACAAAAGCACTGCACCTGATCCCATATTCCCTCCATGAAAAAAAACCCGGCATTGGCCATATCCATTGGGCGCTGGCTAATGACTTGCCCCGGCGATTTAGCGTACGTGGCAAATCGATCGCGGTATTCCTTCATGGCCGGAACATACACCTCACCATCCGCCACTAGAGCAGCGAACGAGCATTCCGGACTGATACGTCGGTGCTCGAACTTTGGCAGGTCACCGATCATCCAGTTGAAATGAACCATCCGGCACAGCACGCACTTTACTTCGTCTCCTTCTCCTGTGTAGATGAAACCAGCTTCCGCAAGGGACCGCGGTGAAACGTACGACAAGGGCCATTTGTCAAATGTCTTTAGGCGATCTTCCAAACTCATCTGTCGTTCGGCAGCCTGTACAAAAATGTCTATTTAAGGACTGCGGTCGTACTCGTACTTTATCGGCTTCACAATGGCTAACTTGCAGCATATGATGTGCTTGGGTCGCAATGTCGAGCAAAAATGCGAAAAAGTTCTTTTAATTATTTTGTACGTTGTGTTTTTTATTGTATTCGGTACATTTATTGTTACGGACGGAATTGGGAAAATTCTACAAACTGATCACTGGAATAAAACTTTACGGAATGGTACATCATGACTTACCGACGTGACGGCGGAACAAAAGCGGGTAGGATGACAATCACGAACGGTCATGTTAAATCGTGCACAGTAATTCATTGAAAAAGCATTGCGTTACTGACCTTTGCCGATCTTTTTGGCTGCTTTATATATTATTTTGGGTATAATCAGAAACGATCATCTTTGATAGGATAATCGATTTTGGTTACTTTAACTCGTACGTCAGATAATCAGAACCGATTATACGTACTATCGTTACCATAGAGTACTAGGATAATCAGAAACGATTATCCTTCTCAAAACAGACTATCCTGTTCAGTATATAAAGGTAGAGCTGGCACTGCGTTCCTTGCAGTCTTTTTTTTCAAATTACCTGTTTTTCTTAATCGATAAATCGCTAAGAATGCCTACAACTTCTCTCGCTCACAAAGAGGTAGCTTACCGCAACTTATTTAGCAAGCTGAGCCCCCAAACACCGGAAATGGTGTTCGACGGGAAACAGGTTCCGCCATCTGTCCTTCCTGGGTTCGCCAAGTTCCAGGGAATGGAAAAGCTCAGCCTTATTGATTGTAATCTCTGGTCCTTGGAGGGGATGCCACGCCTGCCCAATCTGCGCGTTCTAATGTTGGGCGACAACCACCTAGAAGACCTGAGCGTCATACCAGCGTGCTTCCCCAACTTGGAGAAGCTGTCCATCGTCGGGAACAAGTTCGGGCACCGCGATGAATTGGAACCGTTGACGCGTCTTCCGAAGCTACGCGCACTGGATGTGGAAGGCAACGACCTATGCGAGATCCGCGGCCACGATCGTTGGATGGTAGATACGTTCCCTCGGGTTAAGCAGTTCATCATCACCGCTTACGATGTCGACAGCGATGAAGACGATAACGACGACATTTCCTGGTTTCTCAGCGGTAAGTCGATAGCTCTACTTTTTGAAAAATCCTTTTATTAATACTACAATTGTAGACGAAGCCATGGATGCCGATAACGAGGAAGAGGATGAAGGCGATGCCTTTGAGGGACCTGGAGAATCGGTGCCAGAGGTCATCACAATTGATTAGTGCCTGGAGACTGTAAGCGGATCTGTTTTCGCATTTTTGTTTTTTTTTAAAGAAAATTTTTTTTCTAAAAATAACTTTTGTTTTTCAGATCACGCATTGGAATTTTTTATAATATTAATTCCCTTGGTTTTGTTCTAACTTATTTACCATTGCGCCCTTGCTGGCCTGATACTGGTGTCGAACAATAAAATTGAAAATATTTGATTATAGTGCAAAGCATTACGATACAATTTTCTATTTTAAAACGAACACATAGATTACGATAACCAAAAAATATAACACACACACACACACATAAAAGTAGCTTTTGTTTTCTGATTCTGTTTTATCTTATAAAGTTATGGCGTGTTTGAAAAGAACCCAAAAAAAACCGCACCTCTAAGTGTTAAATAATATACGTTGCCGAGTGACTGCGCACGATACATTATATAATATGCAATACGTACTAATATGTTATAAAACCCCCCCCCCGGGCCTTCTTTCTCCACCCGGTCAAAATACCGAGTTGGCTACTATTGTCACAACTCCGCTAGATGACCACTAGCAGCTGTATCATGCAGCTGCAGGGTCATCTAGGAGTTGTGATTACATACAGCCTGTATGTAATCACAACTCCGCTAGATGACCACTAGGAGCTGTATGTTATCCCGCCTACTACTGTCTAACCTGCGCCTTTTTGTTGTCCAACATCCCTTTCGTTACGGCGGTTACGCACACCTATAGACACAAAGAACTGTACGAGAGCACACGTTTAATACTCGTACCTGCGGCAGTACAATACGCACAGGTTATGAGCGTTTACAGCGAGACTATGACTTGTGGAATTAAAGGATCGAAATGCAGCCTGCCAGCAGGTAGTACCCGTCGAACATTTGCAGCGATGTTCATAATTAACAGACTCTAATGATTAGAATGTGATCATGCTAGCTGGTTCGCAGTTCTAACGTCGAGTTATTATTACTGTCATTCTGCCTGAATGATCGGAATGATAATTTCTTCATTACGGTATAGCGGAATCACGGTTTGTCTGCATATTACCAAAACGCAGTAGCCAATCGGTCAGGCTCGAGACTAGCATGGACGCCAACAAACCCAATGCCAGCGAGAACCCGGTATCAGATGCAGCTCCACCCAGTCGCTCGTTCTCAGCGGGGGATATCGTCATGACCTTGAATCCATGGGTCTGGGCTATGGGCATACCTGCTTACAAAATCCAGTGCGCGGGTTGTTTTTCGGTCGGCAAAAAACTGCTGGTGTGTTCGGGATGTAAGCTGCATCAGTACTGCAGCAAGTCTTGCCAGGTACCCTCTTGAGATTGTTCATAAATTCGTGGATATTTTGTTCAGTTTTTCTGCACGGTATATACCAACGGAAACACGTCTGAAAAGATGTTTCACTGCAGATAGCCGACTGGAAAGCGGAGCATAAAAAGGATTGTGCCGGTCTCAAAGTAATAGCTGAACACTACAAGTCAGAGACTGATGATGACAGAATGCCTTGTTGTGTCATTATGATCGCCAAGATGTTACAGAGGATTCAGGTATTCGCTGCGCCTTTCCTTGTCTGGGCTTTGTACGGATTGTACCGATATTTCGCAATTCACAGCCGACACAGTGATAATACGTTAGTTTATGTATACTTACCGCATTCGTACGAATATAACTGTTTGCAGCTGAACGTGACTGAAACGCTGCCTGGGTTGGAAACGATGTCAGCCAGCGAGGTTTTGAATTTGTTCCCCGAAAGTCCCAACAATAAGATCGCCTCTGTGCCTCAGTGCGAATCTTTGTAAGCGGTCTGCACTTCTAAGTTTATGCTACATTAATCAAAATTTAACTTTTTGCTCAACACAGCGTACCAATTAGGGAAGGAATTTAGAAAACCAACCAGTGCTCACAGAATAATTTTTGTTGATAGGCTCTTTCTGCCCGGTAATACGGAATTCTTGATGGTGGGCAATGCTCATAGCGAGGGAAAAGCTATTCACAAACTGGCGACTATGATCGGCACGTCCACGACCGACTTCATGAGATGTCTGAAAATTATCTGCCATAATAGCGTTTACATGGAGGATAAAGTCAGACCACAGCGGCCGTACGTCGTGGCTCTATTCCTCAGTCGCCACGTCATGCCATGACCCCGGTGTGCTGGGATATCAATGTGACTATGCATGTTCAAGGAAAGCATCTGGTTGTTATAGCCACCGAGGACATACCCACCTATACTGGCCTTCATGATGTACTAGAACAATGTGTTTTTAATTGTTGCCCGTAAATTCTGCAGCTCCTTCTACAGATCGGCTTGTTTGTAGCTTCGCACCAACGAGAATGGCAAGCCACCGTCCCGCAAAGACATGTACACTATGACTCGAGACGAACGCCGTGACCTTTTCCAACTGCAGCACCAATTCCCTTGCGAATGTGGCAAATGCACAACAAACTACGTAAGTAACAGGCAGAGTCAGCTGAATAATATACATAGCATTTTCGATGTGATTATACAACATATGACAAAGCGTTAAATGCTTCGTTTTCATGCATTAACGCAAACAAGCGTTTCTGTGTTCAAACTCATTCCTGGTGATATACGCGCGTGCACTGATTACAGTAATTTGTACCCGATTTCCAAGTTTTTATCAGACATTTTACTTGTACCTACGTAATTTTTTTTGTCAGGAAGCGGAAATTAACCCACTAAAATGTACCACCGTTGGATGCAGCGAGCGGCTGCCCAGCGATAACCGAGCGTTAGAACCTTGTCCGCAATGCGGCGCCCTTAACAGTGAGCGACTGGAACTGTATCGCAGTTTTGCAACAAGGTACGAGAAGATTCGCACGGCAGAAGCACCCAACGTCACACGGCTGTCGCTAGAACTTGATATCGATGATGCCGATATTCTTCATCCCGATGCACATCTGCGCTATGTGTGTGGTTGGGACCGAGCACGTCAGTATGCGGACGATGACCGGCGTTTGGAAGAAGGCTGGAGAATGATGCAGGATTTCAGCGTTTGTATTCGGTAATCAAGTTCATCGGCACACCAAACTGAAAGTTGAAAGCAAATAACGGAAGTGTGGTTTTTTAGTAATATTTATCCGAAATACAGCGTTGCCCGCGTATTCCACCTGGAGAAGATAGCGGAGGCCACTGGGAAAGTTTTCAAGGATGCAGTTGACCGTTCACGCGCGCGGTCAGAAGAACCCGACCAAAGACTTCGATTGGAGCCCGCTGTAGTGGACATTCTAGCCAAATTACACGGATATACCGAAGAAATAGCTCATATCTTGGGTAAGATTGCCCCGGATTCGTCACTGACTCAATATGCCGCTGAAAGATGCTTACAGACCGAGGAATGGCTACATGTCCAGAGAGAGCGAAACTCTGAAATTGATTCTAAGGGCCAAAGCAAGCTTGATGAATATGGAAAGGATATTTCCGCATGTTGTAATGTTGGGGAGACCGACTAACATACAATAATCCTTTGAATGGTTTTTACTGGTAAAATTGACACACTTCTTGATGTACAGCAGTCATTAAGCCGTTACTGTCTTTTCTAAGCGTGAAATCATTGAAAAACTGTAAACGAGTAAAATGTGCGATTGGTTTCTTCAAATTCTAAGTAATACAGTAATGTACTCCTGATACTTACCAGACGGCAGTATGTAGTGCTGAAGTCACAACTTTGACGTAGGTTCGAGGAAGGAAATTTATATCAATTGCAAAAAGGTCAAGCGGACTATCAAAATAATGCTGCACAAAGTTCAAAAACAGAAATAGTATGTAGCCTGACACCCAAAACGTAAACAGTACTGTACTCGAAAAAAGTCGCGTCGCATAAGTAATCCGTATAGTATCCACACTAACAATATAAGTGACAGTACAACAATACTGTATCCATATTTTTCAGGTATGAGGTATCTATAGATAGTGTAGATAATTACTGTTTGTACTTATGGGTTACTTGTACGTCGCGAGTCTCGCGACGATTCAGAATATGCAGGGTCTCAAAAATTTTGAAACATACGCGCGATGAGTATCGAACTATAAGTACGTCATTACTGCTCCTTTGCCGCTCATGTGGCAGTTAATCTAGCGAATCTTTTCAAATAAAGAAAATTTTCACCAAACCTTTGCGACTTATACCGAATTTTGTTTTGCGAAGTCGTGTACGGACCTGCATGCACGCTCATGTGATATTATAATTAACGATGAGTGTCCTGCGGTGCGGTGCTGAACATCTCCCGCACAGATTTGTTTTCTGAATGACCTCCGCTGTTAAGTGACGGCTCTTTTGCATGGCTAACCATCTCTGCGCGTAACGGAGCATGATGGCGTGAGCACGCACCCGTGCCGGTTACCGAAGGCATCTACCGTACAACCCTAGCAATTATTCGTTTGTGCCGTAGAAAATGGTAACTCTTGCAAAGTGTTTGTGGTGGATACGTAAATATTCGTTACTTCCCAGCTGAAATTAATTTTATTAATTGGGATTGGTTTGTCATGGAAGGAATAAGTATATAACTGACAAAATGCGGTATCGCCGGTTCCGATATTCCACTACAACAATAACCATCGTTTCCGTCGCCGTTTTCGTCACGGTTTTTAATATCTGCCTCATCGTTCTTTATCTGTTTTCTGTCCCCCCCTTGCGCTTTGCCACTTCCGGAGGGATATATGCGTATTCAACCCGAAATGTTTTTCCACCACTGTTTGACAGTAATGCAACGGACCCCGAACCGGAATGCGGGGAGAGCAAAGGGAAATTATTAAAGACCGGTTGGGCGTTGAAACTGCTCAATGTGGCCATGAAAGAGCTGCGCCGCTACCGGAAACGGGAACTGGAGAATATGGAAGCGGGAAGGGAGCCGAATGGCTACGCTGACATCTTCACGGATCTACAACCGATCTTGGCGGCGTTCACGGCAGACGGCGAGAAGCCGAACCTTATGGCACTGTTGCCCAAGATACTGTCGGTTTACTTCAAAATCAAGAACTCTGGAATGTTCGATTCCAGTCCGGGGAACGGCTTTGAGAAGAATGACCAGCAGAATGTGAATCCGCAAAATCTCCCTTTAGTTGATTTTGAACTGCTTGATAAGCTTTTGGCCCTTAAAAGTGGCAAATTGAAATAGATGTACACATATGCATTATTTTAAGTACGTACGAAATGCTTTTGTTGCTAATAAATTTTGCATTGTATAGCACGCATCGTGATTAACAGTACAAGTTATGATTGTATGTACGTATATCGTATAAAATTATCGTACAAGGTGGCTAATTGATTTATGGTATTTCCACGACTTTCCTGTAATATCCTTAAAACTGTACGAACTACGAATTACATAATGGCTTTGCGCCGGACAAGCCGGGCACACAGAATTCGGCTTTGAGCCCCAAATGTCCAGAGCCGGTAGCATCACATTTTTTATATTTTTTTACCAGTTTTTATTTTGTTCGACGTTTTCATACTTTCTTAACCATTTAATTTGAGCAGAAAGCGAAATGGCTCTAATTTTCTGAACTGTAGGGTTTTAGGCTTTAATAGCTGCATTTTTGTGTTTTTAGATCTTCTTCTTTTTGATCGTTTGATTACTGAAACGTTTACGGTATTAAAAAGATGATCAGGCGGGCAAACCGTACTTTCAGATATTTTCGCCGAATTTATGGCAGATAATTTTAGTTAAATAAGTGATTATTTATAATACCTAGTTGGCATAACTTACCAAGAAAGGCCAAATAACGCACCAAATGTAGCAATCGCAAGAAAAGTTATTAGTAAATTCACTGGTCGGCTTTACGTGCTTTATGTCCTAATCTCATGAGCTTTCCCGCTGCTTCTCCAGAGTTGGTGTTTTGGAACCCGCGCTTTCCCCTTTGTACTGGCAGTATTCTGGTATGCCAGGTGCCGATACCTTGTCAAACAATGCCGGTTTTGGCAACAACACCAAGGCGCAGCCCAGCTTCGCCTTACCCACAAACATCCCATCCAGACGGAATTCAAAAAAACGCTGGACTGCCGCGTGTTCTACTCAGCTGACTAGTGCCTGTAATTCTAGGATTCTGCACTACTTTGTACATTTGAAATAAAATTTAAGTGGAAGGAAGCCACTTCACAAGGAAAACAGCGGAAAACCAGTACGTAATTTCTCACGTAATCCCGCGCCGGGGCGTATATATTCGGTGCGCAAAATCAAATTCTATACGCCCGGTTTAAATTTGTCGGGGTGCATAGCAGTCACCAAACTTAATTGATTTCTTATATGAATATTGAGTATTATACAGTATTATATATATTATATAGTATTATAGTATTATATACTCGTATTGGTTTTCTTCCAACCGTTTTATTTGAAATTGTTTCATAAACTATGCAATGAAATTTCACAAATTTCATTTTCATAAATTTCAAAAAAATATATACGTAATGCTCATGGGTATTTCTTCTTTAAAATACAGCGGTGTATGTGCTTAAAGTGCGAAGCTTATGGTTACCTCTTGCCGGCATGAACAAATCTGATAAAACAATAAAGCTGGAAATAATTACTTAACTAGCGTTTTCTACTCGGTTAAATTAACTCATCTCAGTCAGCAACAGAACGATTAAAAAGAATGAGATCAGTCATGAATTTATTTTGAAACATGTACGCCTATCAACGGAAGAAATAAGCAATCTGTCGCTGCCAGCTCAACCTCGCGGTAACAAAAAGCGTCATTGTTCAATCGAACATGCACACAAGGCGTCGAGTGGCCTTCACGAATTTTGACCCTCCCGCTGTTGTCATTTAATTAAAGCTTTATGAGAATTATGAGGAATGGAATGCAGATTGCTATTATAAATTCCATTGAAGTGACGCGTTGTTTTTTGAGTATATATGTGTAACAATAATCACGTGTAGTTGGCATTATTTACATAATTACTAATTTAAGAGATGCTCATAATCTCGTTAGTCTTGAAATTGTTAGTCAGAGCACCGACATGGCGCCGGTTTTATTAGGAGTGTGAAAATGCAACCAAAGTTACAATTATGTAAACGCTTGTTAACTGCGTGTAGGTGCTGCCGGCTCATGGTCGTCGATTCCGGATATTTTGTGCTCATAGAAGATGCGATTAAAGTTATGCAGTTACCAAAACTTTTCGTAACATGCGGCACTGGTGTTAATTGATTCGGAATTCGAATAAGTTGCTGATATAATTATTCAGAGAAACATTACTGTTAAATATTTCAAAAAGGAAGTCAATACTATGTACGCACAAGTATAATACATGCGCCGGTAACAATAGTGGTTGCCGAAATTACAGTGTTAAATGTAACGAGTCGCCGCGCCTGCTTCCATCGATATTTTACATTTTTTAAATTAATTAATACATTTTCATACCAGTGAACTTAAAAAATTCGTGTTGTGTATTACGATATAAATTACAATGCCTTTTACCACAAATAATTCCAGTGTATGTTGTGGGACATTCCAGCTATTATTTTATTGAAACAGTCTTTTTATTTTATTGAAACTATCTTTCCCCGTGACATCCACAAGCTAGCAAAAACTTATATTGAATTTATACTTTATACTTTATTTATACTTTAAGTATTGAATTTATACTTTAAAGTATTGAATGAATTCTTGTACTGCTGATAAACATGTGCATAAATACCGAACATTAGTCACTGCCGTTGTCAAACAAATGACCATAAATGCGGGTAAAACAATCGTTAAAGAACAGAGCAGTTAAAGAACCAACTTGTTAACGGTTCTGTGTACATAACAACAAAAACCACATTTGAACGAACCAAAAAGAGAAAGTTTCTACGGCCATTAAAGATCGACAGGGTTTTTCGTGATTCGAATAGAGTACAGTAATTACATTCACGAATTGTTGTCGGAAGTTGTTTCTGCATGTACGGTGGTCAGTTTTATAGCAAGTAATGGATGGACAGCGGAACTGCGTTCGCACGCTCTGTATCTTGGGAACTCGTATTAAGACTAATAATTTGTCCGCTGTTCTGCACCATACTGGGACAATGTTCACATGAACAAGTATCTTGAACCGATAAACATATTATTTCGTTTATGTCTTATAACCTCATCTTGTGCTGCACGAGAACTAAAAGAAAATTTGAAAGTTTCTCCACAATAAAATTAAAGTTGAGCCACAAACTGACGCTTCGCACGTTTTAGCGTTTTATCTTATGCAATTTTGCCCGCCATTTTGCGCTGCTTCTTGCAAAGAGCTTATACGTATAGAAATATAAAATCTTTAACAAGTTATTTTGTTTTTTTAAATCTGATATAACTTTCGAAAGCTCTCGAATGACTCAAAAGCAAACAATTGACACCAGCGTACTGCGCACCAAGCCGGTGATCCATTGTTGCAGGGCCGCCGCATCACGCTGACGCAAGAGTAACGTACTAGCCAATCACAACACATACGTAACCGACCACCTTGTTGCCGCTGCAGCCGGCATATACCAGCCACCACCAGCCTGCACAAGCATAAACATACTCACCGTACACACCTGATACACGTACTTATAAGCAAGGTTCTTCATCCTCCTGACCTAATTTAAATGGCTCAAATTAACCAAGCATTTCGGTTTTTCTGCAAACGCCGGTCTTAACCTTATTTGCTGTAGCACCGCTACTGCACACACAGACATACAGCCGCGCGTGTTAAACCGTTGCAGGTGAAACCGCGTCTACACTGGGACGGTGTTAATTATTTGCCGGTGTATAGGCTGCAGATGGTAATCGTCATACCGTGGTTACTGACAATGGGGGATAGCCGGCCCGTTTAATTTCGATATAATTTTTACTGTGTGTTATTATGCTTTTTTCTCACATTATCCAATCATCGTTATGACGCCGTAAATGCGTTCATGATCGGTGTTTTTATGGTCATCTTGCGGAGGTTTATTTAATGCACCTGACGGTCGCGACTGCGTTGGGTTTTTTTATCAGAGTGTCTCGCGCATATTTCCGGTGTCTTTGGTCAGTTGGATCTATATACTTCTAGTCGACAATCATGCATTATTGGAATTACTATCTGTTGTTGGTCGGTTGGTTGGCGGTCAGTGTCCAGTGTGTCAAACAGAGGGAAATTGATTTTTTTCCCTGGAACAGCACAAGGACAAAACGGGGCGGCGGGGATCTGGAAATGTCGGCATCAGAGAAACAAAAAATGGTGACATTTATTCAGAATGGGATGACCGATGCCTTCAAAGAGGCGCAGGATGAAATGGCCGCTTCCAATGCCGTGCCCGAACGGCAGAGCTTGTGCTGTATGTACTAATGAGCTTATATATATGTGACCAAAAGAATAACCGCATATAGTGATTTTCTAATTCATTTTTTGTTCTGGAATAATACCATTTAAATGAAGGTTAAATTATATAATTATGTAATTTTGGTATTGAATTCAGGTACTTCTGCCAAAGCTGAACGGCGCAAATTGTTAACTAAACTATTTTATCGGCATAATTACTACTTTCAAAATTTACAGAAGATCATATTAAATTTCATGAGACATAATTGCTGTTGGTTCTACAACGCAGTGAGTTTATGGAAACGACATACTTAAATCGGATATAACTTGTATCAATAATTATCTCCGTAATGTTGCGATAAATGATAAAAGAACTGTTCCGGCTTAAATTTACTTGCTTAATTTTTAAAAAATGTTTGACGTTTACAAAATTATTGTACAAGTTATGTTAATTTCTGTGGTTGTTATTTAGTCCAAATATGTTGTTATTCATTTGTTCGTCATTGTATATTTATACACCTTCGACATGTAAGATATTTCGGCTGCAGACGTTTTGCTCTGTTTGCATTACTTATGCAGTAAAGTTTTTGTGGCCAAATTAATCTGCGGCTTTTTTTACGTATTGAGCTAGTTGAGCGGCATTTATCGCGTCATAGTGATAGTTTGCTGTTTTTGAATGTTAATAAAACACCAATAAAACTCGAACTTATGGCTGGTTATGACCCCGTTCAACGGCCCATATCTTCGGACAAAACCACGAATGTGCCATAACGCGCGACGTTTTGTAGAAAATTCAGCAATTCTTCTTTCTGTTTGTCAAAAATTTACCAAGACGTATGGATTTAATTCAATATAATAAAACTCATTAAATTATGCAGTCACATTTCGTTTTCTTGAAAATTAATAATGCTGGCGAGAAACAGACTGTTTCACTTACTTAAAAGCAGCAATACGCCCATAAATTTATGAAATTTTAGCAAGAAAATAAAAATTAGCAAAACATATAACATATATGGCGGATTTTTGATTAAACGGTTTTTGAATCAGAGAAGAAATAGCACCTGTTGCATGGTGTCAGACAAGATTTGTTTGATCTGCCGGATTCTGACACTGAATCCATGTGCTCCGCTTTCGAATGAAAACGAGTGTGATGGTGTAAATTGGTAGTTGATTAATGGTATCGCACTTAACCTTACAGTTAACACGATTGTTTGCTCAACCGTTAAATATTACTGCTTATGCAAATACAGCCTCGCACGAGATATGTTTGGTCAATATTTACCAAGACCTCCACAGGTGGTAAAAGTGTAAATGGATACCTTTGTCAATGGGACCCGTCAGATTTTTTATCCAGCCACCAAAATAAACTTAACATCGTATCATTGCTCGGTGTACTGTTGCACTGTACATATTTTAATCTAATTACAATTAATGAAGCGATTTGCTAATGATTTATTTCTTTTCTTTGATTCTTTCAGCGCAACAACAAGTTCCAGGACGCAGTATGATGTCCCAGATACGTGCCAATAAATTCAACTGGCCCAAAGAGAAATCCATGGAGATGGGCGTGCCGGCACGGATGGCTGAAGTGGCCATGGGGAAACTGATGGACAAGTGAGCGTTTACTTTAGCACCTGAGCGAATTAAGAGGAGAGAGAAAGCGAAAATATAATAATACAAAAAAACGTCACCCATTTAAGCGGTACACAGTGGTGGGCGCTGATGTCAGACGAGTATGTGTGTGTGTATGTTGATGCAGCTGCTGACGGCGAACGGCAACAATAAAATCAACGGACGCTAAGAATAATAGTCGCGGCCATTGTCATACATGCAATCATATTATGACGGCTTTCGTAATGGGCGCCTCTCGAAGAAAATTATTATGTCTTCCAGAAGCAACATGGACCGCGGACATATGGCGCAGGCCATGGCGGAGATTGACGCCAGACAGACGCCCATTGGTCGCTTCTGTGTCAACCGCGACCAGCGACCCTGTGATCCGGGCAAACGCTACCGGGAACTGGATGGCTGGTGCAACAATCTCAGACTGCCCTTCTGGGGCGCTGCACTCACACCGGTTATCCGCGTAACTCCGCCGCGGTACGACGATGGTAAATTGGATTAATTTAAAAAAGAATTATTTAAAGAGTTCTGGCTGGCTATATTTTCTCTGCTTATGACTACGCACGGATTTCGGAATTGGGAAGCCATTTACTGACATTCGTATAAGACAGCTGAGCATGAAATATGCGGAAACTAGTTTCAGCAAAGTTCAGACAACCTTGTAAACTTACACATCTATCGAGACAGTTTAAATTTTCTGACTGGTTAGACCTTACTATTCTGTGTATTTCTAGTTATTGTCATATGTATTTTAATCAGTCTCTAATCTTCTCCGCAGCTTATAGTAGAAGCAAATGCTTAAAATATAGATTGTAAGTTTTGTTTTTAATCAGTTTATTTGTTTGCAGGGATCAGTGTGCCGCGCACCCTGTCGGTGGTAATGGGCAACCGGGGTCGTGAACTGCTGCCGGGAGCGCGTGACATCAGTACGACCCTCAGCCAGGGTACAGACCGTGCCCATCCAACCGTAACCTTAATGGTCGCGCATTTCGGCCAGTTTTTGGATCATGATTTCGTCAACAGTTGAGTGACAGTGGCCGGTCTGGCCAAGCGTGTACCACTGTATGCATGTCGTACAATATACCCGGCTTGTTAGTGTATTTTTTCTCATTTTCTCCTCTCAGTCGCGCCGTAATCTGGTTGTTCTTTTGGCCCTCTAAACACTAATTAACTGCACACAACCGACAACGTACGCTAATTAGCTACTGTCTGGGTGTTCGTTTGGTTTTTTATCCTTGTTTAATTTCGCTCTCTCATGCACTCACTGACTCTCTCTGCTTTTGCAGCACCAATCAGTCTTGTGCAGAATCAGCGCGGTGAAGCAGCACCACCACAATGCTGCAACGTACCAGCGGCCTGTCGTGATGCCAGTTGTTTCCCCATTGATATACCGGCCAATGATCGCTTTTATGCTCAATTCGGTAGGTAAACTGATTTCGTGCGTTAAGTCAATAGTAAACAAATCCGGTCGCTGCTGCGCATTCTGCAACCGCGTACTGTGAGAAAGTAGCGAGATTTATAAAGAATTAACGGCTCATGTAATGGAATTACGAAGCGAGACTGGTCTGACCACATGAGCAAGTCACACATTTTGACAGAATAATATAATACAAATTTTAAAAAATTAATAAAGCTATTGTCTATAGCGTATTGTAAAACCCTATTCGGAATTTGTATAACAAATTCCATGTGAATTGGTCAATTCAGCAAATTCAGATTTTGTGACATCAATAATCAATTGCAACGTTTCTTATTAGTTATCCATTAATTACTCGTATCTTGATTGGCTGCTATAGTATCTAGCAGCTGCTCGTAAATGCACAGTCAGTCGCACCGTACAGTATTCGTACAGTAACTTTAATTCAAAAGATAACAGAACTCAATCGCAGTACGTACAGATATTTGATTTGTAAAAGTGTGTCAGGTTTTTTTAAAACCTCAAAACTGCTCGCTATCGCGCGATGAAGTAAGCTACTATTGTTCACGTTTTTGTGTTTCCGGACTTTTAATTGCTCTAATCGCAAATCCGTTCCGCAAGGCTGTTAAGTTCTTCCGTTGCAGGCGTGAAGTGCATGGAATTCGTCCGTTCATTGCCGGCTCCCAAACCCGACTGCACAATGGGTACAGTGTGTCTGTCCGTGCGCCTTGATTGGCCAATAAAACTAACACCCTTCGTGTAATGCTAATTATGACCCGTCCCAATTAGGCCCACGTGATCCCATGAACCAGAACACGCACTTCATCGATCTGTCGCAAGTGTACGGTCCGTCGGCCGACGAGAACAAGGCACTGCGCGCCGGTGAACGCGGCGGATTACGCATCAACACCTCACCCTTGGCCATTGATTTCCGTATGATGCTCATGCCGGCTGATAAGGACACTCTGGACTGTCAGCGTCTGGATGAATCGAGGGCGTGCTTCAAAGCCGGAGACAATCGTGTCAACATTCAGACAGCCTTGACGGCCCTTCACACCGTAAGATCCTGATGTTGTTATCTATTATCCACACTAGACAGACACTCGTAAGGACCCTGGTACACCTCAACTTGAATTAATGACGGCTGATGAGTACTGCATTCGTGGTTCTTCACTAAACATGCAAATCCAATAAGCCAATCACTAATCACTGTAATCAAATCGAAAGCACCAGTACGTGGAACACGTACAGAGTACAGACGTGCGACTGGGCGAGGTTACAAGAATCTGTTCGGGTGATTGCTAGAAGTTTGCGCCCGACCTGAGTTTAGGAGACTGCCCAATCGAACTAACTCACAAAATGATATTGGATTTTCTCAGCTGTGCCTCAGTTATTTTGTCCTTGGTGTAAACCGAAATTTTGGTGCTTAGCTTACCGGTGTATTGTAGATTTGGTTGCGAGAGCACAACCGGATTTCCGACTTCCTATGGAATAACCGTCAAGACCTGCCGGACGATATCTTATTCGAGGTAAACAGGCCGACAGTCACATCCAGTTAAACCTGCAAATCGTCTTCTTGTTGCATCTTGCACCACTCACCCCTACTTGTTTTCGGTGTGAGAGCGCGAGATATGAATAATCATTAAAATGATAAAACGTTATTATTGATCAGTCGCTTATACTGTACGTTAACAACTATAGATATTTTGAACTGTGAAATCCTTACAAATTTGTAATTATTTTAGGAAACCCGGCGTATCATGATCGGTCAATGGCAGGCCATCGTGTGGGGCGAATTCGTTCCCGTACTGATCGGAGACCGTATTGCACTGGATGAACGCAATGGAAACCGATTGGTGGCGGAAGGTGTTTTCAACGGATACAATGATAACGTCAATCCAGGAACATGGATCGAAATGTCAACCGCAGCCTACCGGTATAACCATGCACATGCACCTTTTTGAACCTTGTGCACAGCATGATGAATTCCTGCGGTCGTTTTAGTAGTCCATACGTTAATACATCTTTCGTATTGAAGGTTACACACTTTGATTCAAAACTGGCTGCCCATCAAGAGAAAATTCAATGAGAGCTTCAAACCATTCCACGAATTCTTCTTCACACCCTATTACATGTATGAACCAGGTGCGTTGGACAATCTGGCGGAGGGATTGTGCCACGAAAACGTCCAGTCCTTCGACAACCAGATCACACCGGAAATGCAAGAGCATCTCTTCCAGGCGGTGGACGAGCCCTTCGGACTGGATATCTTCGCCCTCAACATACAGCGCGGCCGTGATCATGGTAAATTTCTGGCACTGATTGTAGCATGATTGCATGAATACGTACAGTAGCATACGCAACTGTGGACAATCGTAGTGAAGTGGGACTTACAGTTGTTAGTGTGGGAGTTACCGATCGGTGTGACTTGTCTCTAGGAGTTATAACAAACCGAATGCGTATAAAATTTTGAGCGATGTAAAGATATATTTTTTGAATAAACATGTAGATTTTATGGGCGTGTGCATCTTCAGATTTTATTTCATCAGGTTTGGCAACGTACAACGATGTCCGTGAATTTTGTGGTTTACCGCGCGCGAGGTCATTTAAAGACTTGGAAGACGTGATGCAGCCCAAGGCGATTGTTGCTCTGGCCAAAGTGTACAGGTACATTGTGCCCATTTTTAGACGTTATTAATTTTCCAAGCACAACAGGATGTTTCTAAATTTGTACACTTTTCTAAATTTTTAGTAATCATGACATGTAAATGTGGTGCTAATTACTGTAATGCTTTATTTTATTTGGCTTTTTGTTTTTTACTTGCAGGCACGTGGACGATATCGTAAGTCCTAGCGAACCGCTACCTTTTTTGGACTGACAATATATATCGATAAAATATTTTCAACAGGATTTCTACGCCGGTGGAATAAGCGAAAACCCGGTGAATCGTGGTGACGGCTTGGTCGGGCCGAGTTTTGCGTGTATCATTGCCGGTCAGTTCCGTGACTGGCGAGTGGGCGATCGGTTCTGGTACGAAAATCCAGGCCAGTTCCTTCCAGGTATGATGACTGTGTAAAGGAACACCCGTCTCGCATTGACAGCTACTTTGCTTTGGCATAATAGTTATAGATTTCATTTGTGGTCCGATTTGAATAATCGATTTATGATGAGACTTAACGTATAATATACGTATGTGTGCTTATTTACAGAGCAACTAAAAGAACTTCAAAAATCATCCTTAGCCGGAGTTATATGTGCTAATACCAATATTAAAATGATTCAACCCAGAGTATTTTTGGATTCACATGATAAATTGTAAGTACGATATTATTATGATGCAGTTATCTCGAATGACATGTACCGCGTATTCCATAAGTTGATATTACGATTTTTCTTTTTCAGAAATCCAAGAATTCCATGTGCAAACATGCCGCAGATGGATTTGTCTAAATTTTTAATATCGGTAAATAGTTGATTTTCGCAGAATAATTTAGAAATGATTAAGAAGGATATAGTTAACCGTTTTAGTTTTTGTATAGTAAATTTTTTATCCGTGTTCGATTAGCTTCCCGGTGGACCAAGAGGATAAGCGACGCAAGCGGAACTTGATATAATTTTGTTACTTCGGCGTATGAATCTCGCACAGAGCGACACATTTGTGGCGGATTTACATGGCGTCTTGCAATTGTTACGGCTGCGACATGATGACCTTTCCCGTTAGATGTCTAATTGGCAAGGGTTGGCGTCTGCGCTCAACTCTCTCTTTCGCTGGGTTTTTCATTACCACATAGCAGATATAGATAGTACTGGACTCTGTTTATCTGCTTAGCCTTTTTGTATACACCTTTTTTCTGTTGCTGCTACATACAGCCTTTTTTTATCTGATGTTCCATAACTGTGTGCTAAAATTTTTGTATACACTCCGTTTATATTGAACAACAAAAATTGATTCATCAAACAGTTAAAGATGTTCTAACGACTTATTAAATTTACGAAAAGTTGAGTTTACATTTTAGTTCGCGTACGTGCCCTATGTTAGAGAATATTTTGCGTACCATATTTGTACAGTAAGCATTTTTCATGCGTTTTCAGCTCATGACACCGTGTACGTAGTACCATGATCTTTTACACTGCATTCTTTTTGCAAAACGATCGAGTTTTGTCTTTTTATCAAATATGCCCTGTCAGTTATAACACAGATCGACATCGCACAAAATTAAAGTCATAACAATTATTAATAATAAAACCGCAGAAGAATAACATTGTAGCGCTAAATTCTATAATAAAGATGTAGACAACGTTGTCCGTATGGATTTTCAGTGGTGTTGAATGTGTTTTTGTAACTGAAAACTGGCAAAAACGAACATACAGACTATCCGTAGCAGTAGACCTTTGTCATAAGTAAAACTAATAATTTCTACGATCGTATCCGTAGCTGTTATTCTGGTAACCATTATTGTAGTTGTTGGTGCTGCTGTACTGGTCCCCTTGTGCCCAAGGATCGTCATCCTGGACCTGTTCTGTGCGGGTAACGTAGTTGTAGCCGGCATCCGGCTGGGTACCATACCCTTCTTCCACTGCTCCGTAACCGCCGCCTTTGCCGGCTGCAATTGAAGATATGCTAGTTACCGGGCTCTTAATTAATGACGCTTACACAAATATACAAAATTTAACGATTTAATTACACCATTTTCATATAAACAAAAATTTGTAATAATAAATACTAACAGGCAAAAAAATAATATAGAGTATAGACGTGTTGTAAAGTTATCCGTAAGTTCAGCTAAACAGATACTGAACGCGTTTAATACCGCTTTTGGAAGCGCAGCAATGCTGTAGTAGTTTGCAGTTAATGTTTACTACGAGTTAATGTTTACTCGTATAATTCTGTAAATCTTGTTTTAGGTGTAACTGCGCGAACATACCAGTGCCATAATTTATTGCATTCTGGTTATAATTGCCGCCCTGCAGGCTCTGGTGCCAGGCGTTGGTTTCTTCGGCAGGAGGATCCGCCCACGGTTGCTTCTCACCGGATGCAAATATTCCGTAGAAGATCACACCGCAGATATGTATTACGGCGGCAATCAGAAACACTTTCTCCCATTCTTCCGGACTCTACTCACGTATGACCCATCAATAAATACAAAATTGTATAAATACGTTTATTTATAACATGTGCTATATGCTCGATACAGGATGCTACTCTGTATATGCTGCACGTACGTGATGGGCAGTTAGACTTTCGGTAACAAGTGGACACATGAGACCGGAAATTGTGCCGACACCGTTAGAGAACCCCATTAAAATACTGGCATAGCGCGGTGCAATATCCAAATGGTTTACATTGAAACCTGCAGAAAAGAGTAATCCATAATTACACCACATGCTGAACATGCCATACCGCGCTACATTTTAAAAAACAGAATGGTGCCCGAACATGATTAACTTGATACTGCATATGTTAATTAGAACAAATTCTTCACTTAGACTGCTTTAGTGTCGATCAGTTCTTGAAGCGTTGCTTACTGGTGCGCCATTGAGAATGTAGAGTTTACACATTTTTATCTTGTTCGAAGACTTTTGGCTGTAATATATATCAGTGCATTATGTTATTTCTGTACCGTTACGAGTACCTGAAATAGCGAATCCACTGCAGCCGACAGCGACAATTAGCGATGTTATGGCGAGACCCTCACTTCTCGCGTAGGCAACAACCAGGAGAAAAATTGCTTCCCCGCCAAACCCTGCAAAAGCGCAATAACTATGATCGCTCATATTGGCATTGCGTTACGTTATAATACTGCAACTACAGTTACAGTGTGTGAAAGCAATTTTTTTCTTCGAGGTCGTTCGAATCTCAATTAAATACTTGACATTATGTAAAAAGCCGGGCACATGTTACCAAAATTGTGTACGTAAACCCATTCCAACTTTCTGTTTTGCTCAGTTTGTTGCAGTTATATGTAGCCAAATGCTTACCTCCGCAATTGAAGACTTTACGCACAGTCGTTGTCGTCCAATATCGCCGACGCAACCAATCGGCAAGCATCCCGCCAAATGGGACAATAATTGACATCAGCAAATGTGGCAGAGCTCCCAGAGCTCCAGACTGCATTATAAAGAGTTCTTGGTAAATTAAAGGATTCTCATTTATACTGAATCTGTTTCTGTAAATACAGCTCTTTAGTAACCATTCTTAATATGATCACTTACCGCCGAAATATGGTAGCCGAAAACGTTATTGAAGTACAATGGCTGGCTGATCAACAGCAGATAGAATGTCCAACTGCGGCAGAAATTGGCCACGACGATGGCCCATACCGGCATGGATGTGAAAAACTTCCTCCAAGGCGTCATAGCGAATGACTGCAAGTGTTACTGTTTTACAGGCGAATAGTTGTAATAATATCCTCTAACGATGTAGAACATCCGAAATAAGCCGATTTGCATCTGCGTACTATAAAACTAACTTTGTGCTGACTTTATTTGGCTTGCTTCGCTAACCGAATTGAGAAAACTTGCTTTGTCTCTATATCTTGTACTTTTACATTACATTTCATAAAGCACTAACTTGTCGTCTTTAACTTTTGCCACATTTCAGCATGAATACAGCACGAGTCTTTTACAGTAGCAGGTGCAAGCGTAAACTTCGCTAGCTCATAACGTAAGGCACAATAGTTAGTTCCGCTTGGCAATGCCGGTGAATACGGTTTTATCACTGACTTTTTGAAAAATTGTAAAATTAGTGTTCAAATATTAACAATCTGTCAGGAAAAAAATTGAACCACTAATACCGTATCAACTTTTTTTTGTTGCCCAAGACGAAACTGCAAAATTCCTTTGAACAAGAGCGAAGATGTACAGTCACTACACTACGTTGCCGTTCATTTTGATGACCGCCTGTATCGTGATACAGGATGGACCTTTGTTTACTGCATAATGAAACTATGGCTGTTTCAGATGTAGATTTCTATATTGCTGCTTTTTTTGTCCCTGAAATTATTGCTTGTATTCGTTTGTGCCTTTACGATACTTGTGTATTACGAGGATATGGAGTGTGGATTCGGCGCAAAGTTTGGGACATATCAGCATTAGTAGCATAATCCGATATTTATTTCCATATGTCGCAGTAACTTACCATGGGGCCATGCGAGAATCCGGATTGTTCGCCGATACTTTCTTCGATAAAAATCTTTTCCGCCTGGGTTATCGTGGGATGTGTGGCCGGCTTTTCAAAGCAAAAAAAATGCCACAACACGTACCATAGGATGCCCAGAACACCTGTACAACAACAAAATACAAATGCATATTGTATCTTCACATCAGTATCGGCAGATTATGTTACACTGTGTTAATAAAGAACTACAAATACCCAATTCTTAAAGCAGATGCCTTGTCGCTTGATGAATTGCTTTGTAGTTACGAATTTATAGATCTAAAGAAACTGAGCCAAGGGAGAGGAGCTTCGTATTATAAGTTGAAAGGAAGCAGTTAATAAATCAGTAACCTCATGCAATATTTGTTAAACGCATGTTTCAGGCAAACAAGTTCAGTAGAATTAAAATCGTCTACAAAGTGCAAAACATGTATTTCACGAAGTGCAAAAAATCATATTTCGCCGTATGCACTACGGAATGGGCAGATATGTACCGTAAAAGTAGAAGCAGGATGACCATCCGACATATTCCGTGAGAAAGCCGGAGATGGGCAGGCCTAGTACGGCGCCGGCATACGATCCGCAGAACGCAATGGTAGCCAGTCGACTGCGCTCCAACGGTGGGGCCCACCAGCGCCAGATCCCGTGACACGCCGGATAGGTCACTCCCTGCGGCCATGACACACCGCGGTAATATGATGCAATCCACATGCTTCATATTATATAATCGCCTTATGCCGTCATACTTTCACTAATTATTCGGCTTATCAGCACATTGTTGCGCAAATTGGATGGCTAATTAAGTTAGCTCACCGCAGTAAGAGTAGCGCTTAGGAAGGCCTAGGTACGATAATGCATAACACCTGGTTGACCTTTGGGGTATACGCACCTCCACAAGACCCTGGAGGATTTTGAGGATCATCACCACACCGTAATGCGTCTTGGCAGCAGCCGGAATTAATAGATTCATGAAGGATGATGCGCAGATGGCTATGCCAAAGACGCTGTGTAAAACGTGATAAAAGCATTTCAAAACCGTGCATAGCTGTATGATATGTAGGAATGTACGAAACCGTAAATTATGTAATATAATATAATACAATAATGAATAAACTATACAATTTATAATATAAAACAAAATAAAGTGTATAATATGTCAAACTTGTACCATACCGGTTCGCAGGATATCTGGCTGCCAGGTAGCCACCCGGTATTTGTGTTATGAGATATCCCCAAAAGAACGAACTTTCTACAATGCCGGTTGTTTTCTGATCCCAGTCGAATTCCGGTTCCTATGAATTCCATAAAGAAATGTTTACCTGTATGCTTCCACAGAACCCGTGCGATGAAATACATCGTAGCAACAAACCTTTCTGAGCTACGAATGAACTCACTTGTATAACAAGATCTCCTTTGACGGTGTAGATGGTCTTATTACTGACCATGGCTATCACAGCCACCCCCATATTGCAACGGATTCCAAAAAGAATTAAAAATCCCAGGCCGCTCAGCAGCGCTACAGTATACCGTTTCCTGCAATAAAAAAGTCGGATTAACTTTTTTATAAAAGAAGCCACAACGCAAAATATTTTCAACAGTGGAAATATGTGCAAGTGCAGGCTCTTATAAGTCACAATTTTGTAATACTTGTATTTTAAGCCTGGTGTAACTTACGTTACAGATCTAACTGACCACTGAGAATTCCGTCATTTTTTATTATCTTCTTATTTTAGCTTTTTAATTTGTGGCAGTATTATTGTGCAGAAGTTCATTTTTGATTAATTCATACACTTTGCAATAAAATTGCAGTACTGTATGTGTAAAGCATGCCGGTGCTGTTTCTTTCAAGCGTTTTTAATCCAATTACCATATTAACACATACATCTGCAAGATACCAATGAAATCTCAACTGATTGAGTGTGCGCGTAAGCAAAAAGTTCCGTTCAATCAAAATGCGCAGTTTAAAAGCCGTTGCAAATTATTTGCAACTATCTGCAGCTAAATGGAAATTTTTCCCAAATAGTTTTTTGCGTCAAAAATAAAACTTGAGTAATCTGAACTTACGTGATATTGCAGCATTTTCCACACCAGTTAGGGAACTCCGGACGGATTAATAACCGCTTTTGCATTTCGATCTGCTCCGGTGAGTACATGTAATTAGGGCCCGTGTAAGGCTGTGATAGGTCGGCATCTTCCATTTCTTCATCCTTCAGTAGTGTTTTTTCGTCCTGCTTCTTCCCAAATAATCTGCAACCAGTTATGCGTACACTATATGTGACCTTGCTGCTACACTTTATCATCTTTTTAAAGGTTTTATCCATTTTACACTATTAGAAGCTCTACAGTACTGGCGAACGTACGAGAACTGCAGATGCATTGGGACAATTCCGTGAACAGGAAACGTTATGCAACTTAAAATCTTCTTTTTTTATGTCGGATTAAGTCGAACAAATTTTTCTTATTAACAGACTACATTTGTGTAATATGATAGACTGCTTTATATACATAATATAGTAATAACAGTTGCCAGCAAAGCACCTCGGGAAGATTTCAGACACCCGTGACAATTAAGTCAAGCATTTATGCCGTGTACGTCACGAGAAAGCACAATCAAATCAATAATGCTACGAAGCATTACATAACGATTTTAAAAATCATAGGGGTTTTATTCTCAGTATACTTGCGCAAGATACACAGTCTTATGCACAATAATGTACCTGTAATATAAAATCTTGTTAGCTGGAACTTAGATATCACTGCCCAGACGCAAAGCATGTATTTTGTGTTCCCGTACCCGAGACTGCTGATTTAACTGTCCCGGTTAAATCAACGCAAAACTACACATCTTTTTTTTATGTTCGGATAATGACTACCAGTACAGTTATGTGTTAGGGCGTAGAGTCCTCGTCGTTGTTGATAAATACACGTGTTTGTCTGTACGAGACAATAATTGAAGGAGGAACGTCAATCGTTTAGGTGATCATGCGCCCGGACATTTTAGAATAAGGTCAACGTAGAACACTGGCGGATATGATGCAACGGTGCTGCATCGTAACAAGCAAAATGCATGAATGTTTTCCCATTATCAAAGCCTGACACTCCTTAGCTAACAATAACGTATTACATTTTATACGTATGTCCAAAAAACAATTTTAATTTCACAAGCTATCTTAAATGCAATTTACCAGTAACTCTGTTCGCGACACAACAAACTAAAGCTGTACCGCAATATTTATAGCACGCACCTTATGAACATGGTTATACAAGTAATTTAATCCAACAACAGTATCAGTTGGTCAATCGATCAACTTTTTTTTAAATTCTCCAAATCAAAAGTACAAAGTTCTTTAATCGGATTTCTTAAAATCACTTCGTCTATGATCAGAGCTATGACAATCCATAATCCATCTTAGCAAACCAAATTTTTACAACATCCATGCAATATACATATGCAACATCCAGAGGATGGAACTTTAGAGAGTACTGTACACAGAGTAAGGGGCTTCCTGCTGAACTGTCTACACAGCGGGAGGTAATTGTCACTTTTTATCAACACCTTGGAAAAGGGAAAAAAGTGTCATCCGGTGCTGTTTCTCCAGCTAATTCCTGCACCGGTTCTCTGGTGCGGAAATGCTTCACAATGCACCTTCCACTCATGCGTTATGTTTGGTCTGCGTACCACACCAGCATTGGCGTACGTGACCTATTGTCCAGTCAGTAACAGGGTTACCGTTCCTTCAGGGAAATGTACCGACGATCATCGTGTTTCTTAGGCATAAATGCGACGTTAATGTTAATTTCTCCTTAAAATATAGCGCGTAATGTGATTAAAAATTCACTACAATTATGTTAAAATGTCAACGTTTGCGTGTACAGACAGATGATGCCAGCGTCGACTTTGATGCTTTTCAGGAGAATTCTGTAATCTGTTCTAAATTATATATTGCACATGACAGCATAATCAGTTTGCTTAACTGTTAATCTCTAGTTTAGAAAATGATATTTTATGTAAAGGTTAAGATTAACTGTAAAAGTTATGTATCACCGGAGCACTGTGCGTAATAAAACGGTGGCGCATACGTAAGCGATTTCATAGCCAGACGATGGTACGCCCTGCGCGTGGTGACGGCATGTATAATAAAAGTCGATCATGTCAATTTGCTTAAAAGTTGGCCGCATTAAGAAGATGTGTGGTCAATTAAATTTAAATATCACTGGTCTGAAAAGCGTGGATAATATTGAGTTAGTTTTAATGCACATCTCGCGCCGGCGCCATTGGCGCGCCGATCGATGACAGGACGACATAATATGCTTTTCAATAATCACACAGATCACCCCACAATTGCGTTATGTAAAGTGCTACAAAGATACAATGACGCATTGACGCAATGCCGGTATCGGTCAAATTTGCTGAATTAATCAAAACCCGCTTAAAAACACGAAATTGTGGATGCCACAATATTACAGTAACATTTTTCTGAACACTTTTGATGTAACGATTAGGGGATTCTAATGAAACGGGTGTAAAAACGTTGATAAAACCGCATTGCTTATACGGCGAAGATGCGCGTCGGCAGTTTGCCGTGGCACGCCGATCTGTGCGTTATTTACTTAACCATTGCTCAAATAAGTGATTGTGTGTGCGCTGGATGTGACAGTGAAAATGTGTTGACAGTGTATATAATATCCCGCGACTTTTCAGCTCCCTCATCCCCCCAAGATCAGGCCGGTCGCGGGACAAAAGAGGAGAAGAAAATTCAATAAAATGCAATTCCTGGCGCACAGTGACGAATATGGTGAATGGCGGGACGCTGGGTGCCGGGTATTGTTTCCCACCGGAAACGGAATCCCGCCAATGAATCGCGCCGGCTGTAAGCAACAGCAGCAGCGATGCCGATATATGTACTATATATACAGTTGCACAGAAAAGGAGGGAATGAATTGTGTATTACGTCGGCGATGGGCTAATAAAGCTCGGCCTCTCTCGACGTTCTATCCTCACTCCAATCACTTAGTGTTTAGACGGGACTCCGATCAAGCACGGTCCATAGATGTGTAATATGATGCACTCAGGGATCGCCAGCAACAAATTAAAAACACATAGAGTGCAATCGCTCTACGCAGCCCCAACTCCGGGCATTTCTCATACTTAACGCGGGGGACGCGTCAGTGCATCCAGAATGGATGACGTAATAACCGGACAAGATAAACAACGCTTTCAATGTACTCCAATGTTAATGATCAATACGGGTTTGTTCCGAAAGCAACGTTAGACGTGATTACATGAAAGGTCACTGTGGGAAGGACCGCAGGCGTATGGTTCTTTGTGGTAATCGCGTATAGGATACTGGTTATATCTGTGCAGTGTAAGCCGTAGTGATACGAGTGATGACTGTAATGTCGCGATGTAAACATGAATAAAGATCGGTTCTGTGCATAATGCACAGAGTACATTACCATGAATACAGTAAAGACGCTTTTGATAAGGTATCAAATACGAATCCCAAATCTGTAAATTGTAATACTGTTCATTTCAGATAGGACTTTGCATTTAACTCCTACTTACAAACTTAACAAAAATTAACAAACAAGAATGTACGGCAAATGTAGTGTGAAGGCTTCGTAACTAAAAAAGGCCAGTCCTGCGCAAGGGTCTCGATTAGCTGGTGATCGTATGGTGTTGTTTAACTGTTTTGGCAGACAAGGGATATCCCATGAAACGTTGCAAACATATTCCAGTGCGAATGAAAATCGTTTATGTTTTGAGAACAAGCGGAAATTTCGGCGGGACGGCACCGGAGACGGCCTCCATAATGCCGGACACGCGGCGATAAGGAGGCCACGGCACATTCCCACTTAATACGCTGGCCCATTACATCACTTCCGGTTGGCCACAGCACACAGTTACACGTTTTTCCAACACACACATTCGCATGAGACGGCTGCATGGCCGTACGCGAGACACTTTCATTATGGCACGTCCATGTTCTGCCGCGCCAGTGGGTCGTAAGTAATCGTTTGCGCTTTGCCATCACCAGGGCGCTAAAAAGGCCAGCAGCACCAGTCGGGCCATCGCGGCCAACACACACTACTCTTTTTAATAGAAAATCATTTTTTGCCGCGCTTCGAAACGATTATCTCCCGCCGATAAGGTGGTCATAAAGGAAAATGGCTGCAGCTTTTTCTCCTCCAGTGCCGGCTGTGGAATATCGTCGGTGTATATATATGGGCGAGTATATAAACGTATGATTATACATATCGAAATGGGGAACTGCCGGATGAACAAGGGAGGAAGATTATTTTATTTCATGCATGTTAATCTTGATTATATCGCTCTTGCGTGCCGGTTAGGGAGAGTAGTTGCAAAGACTTTCCAATGGGACGTAATGTGCGTGCTTTATTCGCTTGGAAAAACACATAAAAAAGGATATCATGGTACCCATCCGCAAATCTGAATACAGATAATAGCGGAACCCTAAGTGAACTATCAGAAACTGAATTGTTCGAATCATGGAGTTAAGAAAACGTTTGCGCCTATCAGCAATTGACAAAAGCAAAATTTGCCATCTTTTAACGTACTTAAATTTAGAATGTATAAGATTCGGCCAAAATTTAATTGCGGCACAAGCACAACGGCTTGCTGAGATATTTTACTCTTTCATTTTAGTTTGCCCGTGTCAGAAATAGTGGTTGTTTTGACACGCTAACCTGCTCACATTCGTAATTGCATATCTTTGGCCATGGTACATAACTGAATGTTTATTTTAAATTATGGAGCAGAAAACTTTTCATGTGGTATAGTGGTTGGGATATTATGTTGATCAAAAATTACGCATCCAAAGAATTATACTATTGAGACTTATTTGCGCCGGCCAAAGTATTATGATTTACAAAAACTAAGGAACCAATACAATAGCCATAATGTACCAATGTGTATTATAATGATCATATGCGCGGCGAGAATGAGGGCAAACTGGTAGGCACAGCCCGGCTTTGGAAAAACACAACAAATTATGATCGTTAAGTGTGAATACCTCGTACTCGTACGTGTTACTTGCCATGAAAGCGCCGGCAAAGATAATACAGAGTACTGTAATTATTTCAACGTGCACTGCGTTCTTTTTGCGAACTGTTATTATAAGCAGTTCACCGTCCCGCGAAAATGCGACTAGCCCATACCTACATTACAGATTACTGTCAAGAAGACGCCCTGTAATCGACACCTTTCCCTAAGGAAGCAGTCCCACTAAAACACCGTTCACGAAAGGGTATAATATACACAAACGTGCATACGAGTACACAAACAAACAGCAACAACGCGTCGCAGTGCTAGCCACGCAAGCGAGTGTGTCCTATAACATGGAACGCAATACAACGCGCATTCAGGGCCCATTACAAAGGCTAATGCGGTCATGCGTATGATGCTTGGGAAAAAGAGACCGCCGATGTGATCAGCAGCCGTACTCTCAGTCCTGTATGTCGCACAACAAAAGGGACGCTGTCATCGGCCCGTTGTAGCTTTGTGAATTAACCGCGTGCCAGTTAATGGGAAAATGGAAAAAAGATTAATCTCCAGTCAGGGACGATGGTGGTGGCGTATTAAATATATATCTGTATGTAGAATATCGCAGACACTGCAGCCCGTTATAATAGCCGCGCGCGCCGCTGATGCCGGGTTATTCAGCCGATGTACACTCGTTAGCCAATTTGGCTCAGGGATTGAGCCGGGGATAGAACTGCGCGACGGGGCTGGAGTTAAGCCACATGGATTACACTGGGAGGATTTTGGGTTTCTCCTGGACAGTTGGATGCTACTAAATGTTTTGTCGTGGGGGAAGAAAGAAAAGACGGGATTTAATAGAAATTCTTCGCATTGCTGTTGTTCAAGTAAACAATGTTTTGAGCTCCATAAAAACTGCAATACATTAGTACTCTTTTTGGTCTATTAAAGCCTTAAAGGCATGTACTGTAAATTTTGCTTACAAATTATGTTTACATAAACACGGGTAACAGATACACGCGCGGGTTTGTTACCTTTGCTTATAAAATAATTCTGACCAGGTACAGAGGACAAAAATTTCGATTTATTTTCAAATGTAATTTCTTTCAGGTCTGTTTTATTTATTTTGGAAAATATCAGTGCTGAAGCTCCAAACAAAGAAGCGCGGCAAAATATTTGAATCAAATTTGTTCTTCAGTATCTATCCTGAGCAAACTCTCCGTGGTAATCGTGACGGATGTTGCAATATGGCGTGAATTGCGTCGAGGAAAGAAAGACGGGTCACTGCTATATTTTACTGGTCTCCAGAGTGGCTCATAAGGTAACGCACACCCTCAACATAAGTGCAAAATTGCTGACAATCAAGCTCATTTCCCTTCAACATCCTGTACTGACATGCTAGGCTAGCATTACAGAAAATGATTACGTTAATTTCCGCGCTTTCCACCCCCTCGGTTGCAGCAACTGTCCGGGAGAAAATGAGAATGAATGGAATAAATAAACTTCCATATTTCAGTCCAGCAACTGTACTATATGTATACGGCAATATTTGTGGAATAATCAGTTTCTCTGAATAATAGAGTAATTTTCATGTGTTTGTGTGGGATCAGCGCAAAGGTCATGGCATGGGAATGTGAGAAAAGCTTAAGCGACCACGCACTTCCTTATTCAGAGCGCGACAATAATAAAATAAGAGCAACAATATTTTCATTTAGAGCCGAGAGAAGAAACCTTTTCAAATGTTTTTGAACTGGCAATAATCCTTTCATAAGACAAACACAACAGTCACTGATAATAAATACTAAAAATTAAAATCCAGTTTTGCTGACTATTCGGCTCTTCTTTTGATTTTCTTTGTAGATATCTTCGCAACACCAAAATATTTCTTTAAACAATGATTATAAAAAACAAGCAAAATGCAGCATATTTAAAATAAATATAATTTGTAAGATAACTGACATATTAAATTCGGTAAATACAAATGGGATAATTTTGGAACTATGTACGTACTGAAGATCTGCAGCAATTACTTGACTCACAATCGGCGACCTCTTAATTAGAAATCATCGACGTGAGATAAATAAACGGAAACAAGCTAATTATGATGGGCTTCCTTAAGCGGAAGCCAGTAAAACGTAACGTCCGTCTTTAAGTCGACGCTCTACCGAGGGCGACATACCGCTTCAGTTGGTACTTGGCAATAGATCCGGCATCTTTAGATGAATTAATCAAGCGTTCCTTAATGTAGCCAGCCCCGCCGCCCATACCGGCGGCACGGCCATATGACGACGAGTCCAGATCAACAAAGTCCGACATTTTATGCGATCGTGCGCGCACTGCACAATTTACCCGCCTCTAATGATAGATACGCGACGTCCAACGTAAAAAAGGTTAAATAATTAATTAAGCCCGTATTCAGAAACCCGCTTTCAACCGGGCGAAACAAACACTAGCCGTAATTGCCGAATTAAACTAGCGCGTCACGCGTATATAAACAATACGGGGATTATATACTCTCTATACGTATATATTATATATAAATGAATCCGCCGCGCTAAAAAGTTTATGCGGCATTTTTGCCTGGAATTGGTGGTGGTGGTGCGCGCGTAATGGCAACGGTTGGTAAGTAACAAAATCCTGGCAACGGCGGGGGGAACAAGCGGTTGGGACAAGGTTGGGAGGCTTTAAGCGAAAGCTGTCATTTTCAATTTGCTCGGGAGAATGCTGTGCTCCACGCAGGTCCGGGATGGGTGCATTAGCAGGCGGATATATATGTACTGTACCAACGGCTGCCGGCCTTGTATACAGTGTACATGGGGTGCGCGCGCGGCGTGTGTAATGGATGCGAGAAATGGTGTTTGTGTGTGTTGGCGGGTGCACACATGCTGGCACGCTGATAAGAAAGGCCGTAAACCTTTCCCTACACCGAACCCAGTTTCCTGGGGAATAATATTCTTTTCATGGTGTGATGCTGGATGAGTAATAATGCGCGTAAGCATAGATATACAGTCAAGATGGATTATTTGAATGAAATTGCCGTCAGCAAGGTTTATTAATTTTGTACACCGCTGTTAGGTCCGCTACTCTTAGTCACCTTTACTAATATTCCCCGCTGAATGATGCAATATCTTTTGTAAAGTATTTATAAGAATGAGTAAATGAGCCAATCGTAATTAAATGCTCTAAGAAACTACTAAATAATTCTTACTGTTTTACGACACACCCGGCAATTAAACAGGCGTCGAAGTAAATATAATATTAATCAATATTTCTGCCAAAAATTGTTGCACAATTCGTCGCACATAATGATTATTATTTATTATACAATATATTAAACACGTTTTGTCCTTATAATTAATAAATTACCTTACAGTTTTTTTTGGAATGATTATTTAAATTCTAATTTTTAAACCACTGAAAACTCTTCCGGTAGTGTAGCTTTTCATTTGGGATTTAGCACGCACAGTTCACAACAGTGCTCCCAAAAATACATTGGTATCCAGCAACAGCACCACTGCGAACCGCGTCTCTATTTGTGTACCGAGCTCCATCGAGGACGTCACTTAGGGAAAATGAAAATATTTTCAATAGAGTCTACGCACAAAAGGCCCCGCCACTGACAATGGCGCGAATGATATGTGCAACACCCAAGCACGTTATCCCCTTTTTGTGCGTAACCGAGTCGCGGCGGCATCCGTCTATACTGTATATATCTAACGCCGGAGAGTGCACTCCGTGTTATATGCGGGACTGCGCAATATAAACAAGCACTGGGATGGAAATGCAATATTATGTTCCACGGCTGGACCCACCAAAATGTGCCGCGCGGAAGTCAGTGTTGCCCAAAACGTGCCACTATCCAAACGCCGTTTCCGGTGACGTCAGCGCGGAAGTTTTGCCATCCGCAGCAAAAGTCTAATCCATGTCCGCGTCCAAGTGCTCTTGACGGACAGATTATTAGCCGGTTTAAAGTCTTATCAAAAAGTATGGATTTTTACTGCCACTGGTGTTAGATGTGGAAATTTGTTATACTCGCATTTGATACATAATACACATTTGTGCATTCCAAGGTTACCTGCACAGCCTGAGATCGTAACTATCTTTTGAAAACTACTGTATTTGTAAAACAATACGAGCACTCAAAAATTTCGCTTCAGTTTCCGAACACAAGTTATACCACACTAATTGTGAAAAGTAAATTATAACGGTATAAATTGCACTGCGGCCAGGTAATATATCAGAATAACAAACACGTTTCTGGTACACCTTTCACATATCAGTATTTGCTTATTGAATTCTACTTTGACGTACCAAAGTACTTACAATTGTGTAACCTTATACAGCTAAAAACCGTACAAGTACTTGTTTACCAGTAATAATTTAATATCACAATAACATCCAAATCGCTGCATTGGTGCTTTATCAATAACATATGATAAAAGCATTTTTTGCGGCAAATAACTACAGTCTGTAAATACTGAGCCTCAGAGCATAATAAGAACAACAAAGTAAAAAGACATAAAAATGTTTTGTGTTACATAAGTCGATGTATTTGTGCACATGGCGCAAGATGCCGGTACGAATTGTGCAACAGCATTCTAGATAATTATATATCAAAAAAGGGAAAACGAGGAAAGGCAAAAAATGAGATGAAAATGGAAAAAATTCAATTAGGTGTGAAAACAATGACTAAGAAAATTATGTACCACAGCGGATATGTGCATGTACGGATACGCTTGCGTTATATTAAAACTGCGGTAATTTTACGCGATCAGAACGTGTCACAACTGCACACTACGTCCTCCGTATAAAAAATTATTAATTACTGTACTATCTGAGTATCTGTATATACATAATTATTATACATATACGCGGATAGGGCTCAGTTAATACAAAAATTGTTGCAGAGACGTCATCTTACTCTGTTTTGCGGTCCAACCAGCATTCAGGTGCATAACGAGGCCTAAGGTGTAGAAAAAACAAAGCTGCGGTGAGTCTGGGCAGTGACAGGTCGGGCGCGTACACTCAGCGGGAGAGATGGCCGTAGGGAGGCTCCAAATGGATTGGATGGATATTGTTGCGTCCGTTAGCGTTAGCCGGGACTCAGGCAAATTGCGCAGGATGTACTCCCCAATGTGGGCCCCGTGGGCTTTTCCGGCCAGCGTATCGCATCCACAGCGCATAATGCGGTAACAGTGTGCACGTATGGCGCCCAGGTATATTGTATATTGTACACTTTGCGGGAAACGCAAAACATAATAAATCCATTAACAATTGTCTAGGTACGCTATAGTGACGTTTTAATTTGTTATTTTGTCATACAGAATAACAGAACCATGTCCACGTGCTTATGTATTGTAACCGTCGATGTAATATTTTAGTAATTGGTATGCATTTTTAAATTACGCATACCACAAGGCGCAAGACCACTTAGTGGGTGTTGGTTTTGAAACCTGAATCCAAGTTAATTTTGAAAATTATGGTGTGAGTATGCAAAAGATGTAGCTGAACTGTAGGTGTAACAATTCAGAGCATCTGACTTAAAAAATCAAACTCAAGATTTTACTGAGTTCATCACGATGTAAAGTATGCGTGTGCTGTAATAAGAAAAATATAATAATGAAATGTAGTGTTACACACCGGTATAATCGAGCTTTAAGAATGGATTACAAGTACAAACAATGCTTAATTAACTTTAATAAGCACTGGAAAAGCACTGATGAATGCTATATAATTAATATTATTATTATAAAAAATACAGCGCAAATACATTGAAAATTTCAAAGCACCAGAAATAAACAATACAGACGGATGACACAAAACGAGAGAAACAATTTCGTTTTCTTTCTACCTGATTTGTTGTTCTCCACTGCGAGTGCAACAGAAACGTTTCTTGTGCGTCCAGAAAAGCTTCGTTATTATTTTTTATCCTAATATAGTGTAATCCTTATAACGTGTAATGTCTTAATACATAATGTAATCTTCATAATGCAATTTGCATCCTTATAATCCCGATATGCCTATTAAGTTTAAGTTAACTATTTTCAATGCATAACGCTGTGAGCGGCTTTCTGTTGACTTTTGGTGGTATAAATAGTCGTTGCATTTAAATTATACGGAACATGATAATTTATTGCAATAAATCCTGCGAGTGCTTATTGTGCATCAAGATTGTACAATATCAAGAGGTAGATCTCTTGGCACTTACCATCGAGATGCTCTTACCAGGGCCCGGTCACCGGCTCCCGGCTCCGAAAAATTTCATTTTTTGCAGGAAGACAGAGTGACCCTTGGATATACTTAAAAAAATATTTTCATCGGCCATGGTTAAGTGGGCGTGGCTAAACTTAATTCCAGTGCATTAAAGCATACAGTACTATGTAATGGGAATACCGTATTAGTGTAGCGTACAATGTCAGAGGTTTGCAACAGATACGTGTTATCAGTAGTCCGATCCTTTTTAATTCTTCTGAAAATTACTGCTGTTAATAATCGATAAGAATTTAACAAAAATTATGAAACTAGTGGTTAAGGGTAACGCGTATCGTATTTGTGCCAACAAGCACGTAGGATTACTCTATCGCGGGGCGTATTCCCATTTCCCGTTTCAAGCTAGCACTGTAGTAACTGTACTATATGATTCTTTTCGGTTATTAACAGCAATAATTTTTAGAACAATTAAAAAGGATCTGACTACTGACTAACGTATTAGTCAAATTTATCAAAAACCTCTGACATTGTACGCCACACTGATACGGTATTCCCAGTACATAGTGCTGCATGTATTAATGCACTGGAATCAAGTTTAGCCACGCCCACTTAACCATGGCCGATGAAAATATTTTTTTAAATATACCCAAGGGTTACTCTGTCTTCCTGCAAAAAACGAAATTTTTCGGGGCCGGGAGCCGGTGACCGGGCCCTGGTTAGACGTACTCTTAGTATTTATTTTCGAAACCTTCGAGTTTATTAACTAAAACACTTAAGAGAAGTTTTGATGGTATATTTCCTTTCTCAGTTTTACATCAGAATCACAAGCATTTTACGTTTCTTAGTTATCTTACTGGTACATGACCCGCGTCTACGTGAGAAAGTTTCGTATCTAATTCACGTTACAAAATAGCAATTACTCGTATTTCGCTGTTCAACTGAGTAATGCTTAAGCCGTTTACCTCAATCTATATAAGATATTAATTCTTTGATTAGATTGTAATTATCTGAATTCTTGAACTTCTTATAATATGCCTACTAAAAGACATCACAACAGAACACTCAAATGCACACGCTTTTGATAAGGTTCTTCTTAGATCATTTCATACTGCTCAGCTCGCGCAGTTTGATTTCATCGTATCAGCTGTCAAGCATGCAGTCATTTCATCGATAGCATGAGTCAATCGTAGCAGTACTGTAAAATCTAAGCAGTTACGTGTATTCATATATAAACGGCGTGCTATTATTACATTAAATAAATTATCGAAGTAATTTGTTATTTATATCCGCAGGCCCAATCACACAGCGATCCAACGATGGATGCAAAAAAGCCCGAAAAATCCGGAATATTGCCCGGTACTTTAACATTCCAGGACTTTATTCCCGAAGCGATTCCTCCAGCCAACGAGAAAGAGAAAAACATCTCGTATGCCAGTTTCCCGTCCACCGGGCAAGCGGCCAATAATTTCCTGGCTAACAACCCCGATCTCGAGGTGGTATCATGCGAGACCATCGCCGTCAAACTAGATATCAGCCAGTGGACCGGTTCTGTCAAACACAAGTCCTACGACACAATCATCAATCAGACATCGTACCGGCAGTACGGTGAGAACGCTCTCGGTACTATCAACGCACTACGACTGTGGCTGCGACCAGTCACCACTGCCGTGACCCCGCAGAAAATCGGTTGGAAGACAGTCACCAGTAACTACCACGGTCATCACGTCTCCTTGATGGAACTGGCCGAACAGATCAACCTCCAACATAAGACCACGCCGATTCCGGGACGGATTATAAATGTGCAGTCGTTGACCTTTTGCTCGAAAGACGGACCGGCGGATGTTGAGAGTTCGATATGGAAATTGACCGGAAGTGAAATTAAATCGAATTTCACCCAAGCGTTTCGGATCTTTTATATTATGGGTGAGCCGTGCCGAAGTGATATTGGTTTTGCGGATTTCTTCCCACAGTCGGATGATGGGAAGACAGTCAAGCAGTTTTCGCAAATCATGCGTGACATCAATAACTTCCGCGAGGGTTTGCCGGGAAGTGCGCGATTCTTGAATATACAGACATTGTTGTGCCGGGAAGAGTTGGGCAAGCCAATATCCTCCATGTATTCGACACATTATCAAACAACTCTCTTCTGGGAACGCTTTATACGATTTCTTCGTGTCGTGTACCTGGTCAGACCGGAGGAGAGTAAAGTTGCACCGCCGGCATACGAGACACCAAAGGTCACGGCTAAGTTATTTACACCAGCGGTCATCAAAGATCCCACCGCGTTTAAGCCTCTAAAGTTTGAAGATCTGGAGGTCATGCGAGATCGGTTAGGCTACTGGATGTCGCAACAGTCGGCTAAGGTGTTGGCCGTGGAGAGCGTCAGCTATAAAGTGGTCACCGGGGCGGAGAAGCTGGTGGGCTTGGGAGCGATGAACACATGGCACGAGACAGTGGACGATAAACACGGGACACGGGCTACTTGGGAGATGTATGTGCGCTGTGTGAGGGTGTACTTTGAGGGAGAAACCTCGGATCCGCAGGGATTTTATTGGCCAAGAAGCGTTGATGATGTCAGGAAACAAGGCAAACTCGACCAATGTGTTATCATATGAAAGCGGAAGCGGTTTGCCTTATGGTTGTCCTTCTTAGGAAGTGGCTTGCATTTTTTGAGTTGACAATTTTCTGTTAGTAACTGCAGTGTTATGTTTGTGCAAATTTATTTTATTGTTAAACTTGTACAAGCCAATGCCATAATTAAACTTAAACTTCTCCCTATAAAATCCCTGTAAATAGGGTCCCTATAAAATCGTTTTTATAGGGACACAATCGCTACAGCAGTGACGCTTTAATTTTAATTTTTGGAAAACCAAAGGAGCCAGATTCAAAAACCATAAATGCTGTCAAAAATAAAAAAATGCACATGCCATTACCAACATTTGTGGCTGGGTAAAAAACAAATTAAAAGCCGTGTCTTGTAAATCCAATGCATTTTTAGCGGCAACGAACAATTAACGCACTATCGCTGTTAGTGAAAAGGTCGCCAGGCTGGACGTGCGCGCATTACGTATATATCTACCGGGTGGCCGAACAAAATGCCACTCTCCGCGTTTGTTTTGCCCCGCCCGAAATACTTGAAGTAATTTACACCATCCGATAGACAATTTCATAACCTACAAAAAACAAGAAAATACGTTTTTGAAAAATTGAGACTCCTCGTTAACAATGGCATCCAGAGAAATTGTGTCAAAAGTTTTAGTGTCCCAGCTCGCAATGTTCAAAACTTCGCCTCACTTTTTGTCCTTGCGCAATATTTAAGTTTTAAATTGTTTTTTCTAGAGTAAGTCGGGAAAAATTTGTCTTTCAGTCGGGAAAAATTTGTTGGGATGGTGCATGCGCTGGATGAGCTATGCACTAAGAATGTTTTTCACTGTTCGAAAGAATTATGAGTTTTCCCATCTGTTTTTTTTAAATATTTTAGTTACAATTTTTTTGTTCAGTACAGGTTGCAAGGAAGAGCGCCGCTTCAACTGGCAACTGTAGCTGGAGTAATTACCCTTTCAAACACGGGTTTGAACCAAGACTGCTTTCAAAGCGATGGTCTGCAAATCGTTTTCAAAAAGTCTGCTACCCCGTTTCATGGGGATCAAATGTAAGAAGTATTAAATCTTTCCGTGGCCAGTTAGGTTCACTAGAATGTCGTTTTTCTTTACAATGCAAAAACCAGGAACAACCTCCCTTTCCGAAATAGTTATGTCATAAATAATAACATACTTGGTTGAATACAGTGTCTACAATTTAATTTTGAAAATAGGGAAATCAGAATTTTTTGTTTCCAGGACATCACTCAGCTCCACCCATTTTTCCAAAATAATCCAGGAAAAAAGGAAACCGTTTTACATTGTTGGTTTGACTTAACTTTTTTGTGTAATGGAAATTACTCTTTCGAATAAAACTGAAGTCATGCCAATCAAGCACTGGATAGGCCCCATTGCACCTTGGTAAATCAGGGTAACATTTTGTTCGGCCACCCGGTAAGATATAGGCTACAGTACGTTTGTCAGGGTTAGTTACAGTATTGTGCAAGCAGGTATTTAGGGGAGGTAGCAACACAGGAATAATACAATTCTGTGCTGTACAATGTACAGATACATACACTAGCTGCGCATAAAGGATCTGACGAGCACCAGCCTAAGGCCTTGTCCCGATTTCGAAGCGAATCTAGCTATAGTACGGTTGCTCAACCGCACGAGGTGGCTGTATGCAGTGGCCACGCCTACAGATACGGTACGCGAAGCCACCTCGCGAGGTGGAGCTGCTGTATCGCAACGAGATTCGCTTCGAATTCGGGACGAGGCCTAAGTGTTCCCACAGAGCAGTAGCAACAGGGTGTGATATTGTTTTTTACATAATTATTCATGTTGGAACATCCATTCTGCATGCGAAATTATTTGTATCGTGACCTTTTCTTGGCTTCCACCATTTTGACGACTCTCATCCAGGAGAACCTGTTAACAACGCACGCCAATTGTTTTTCGAATCAGATTAGTCTACCTAAGAAAGCGTTAGGCAGCACAGTGGAAAGAGCCGCACGCATCCGCCTGGACGTTATTCCTTCAGCCTGGACTTAGTGCCCTGTGCATTCGAAAATGGTTCCTGAGCGCAAACCATATAAACTAGCCCTGGAGGCCATAATAGGTTGCCGGTCCTGGGGCAGTAGAATTATGAAAATCCTTAATAGGCGTCTGCCGCGGAAAATAGTGGACCAGTGCCCTGTTAGTGAGCCACAAAGAAACGACTGGGATTTTTTTAAACGACCCGAGTTCTGGGTCGGATATGGGGTGATGCCCATAATAACCAGCCTTATCGTGGGCTTAATTATATCTTATATAACCGGACTTTGGACATTCGGTGGTGCTGCTAGGAGGCTGCGGAAAGCTTATTTATGTGTGATCCGGCGAAAGGTTCCAAAAGAAGTAACTCGTCGGAAGGTTGTGCTTGATTTTCTGTTCGACTATGCGCTGCTGTATCCATTATTTGGGCATTTATTAAAACAAATTTGTGGGTTATATGCCGCAGCAAAGGGAAAATCAGAAGGTCAGTGTAGCTGCAGAAACAAACTGCCGTAAGCTGTGAGAGTTTGCTTATAATCGTAATTATTCTAAACCTAATCGTGAACATTTAAAGCTGATTATTTTTTAAAACTGTCAGCCAAGCTTAAAATCGCTACACTGTCAACCTATCCGGAAATGGGCTGTCTTCTCTGACTGCAATTACACTGAATTAAATTTTATTTATCTCTACTGGTACGGCTTACTACCGACCAAACTTGATGTCAATTTTTTAACATAACGAATTAATCTCTGATGCCCGCAGCTGTACCCAAACACGGTGTCTTGTGCACACTTTAACAAAACTATTTTTTGACTGATAATATTATGAAACCAGAGATTTCCCTACGTTTAAAAATTTTCCGCACACTGCTTTTGGAAAAGTGTATTTAATACTCACTGTAATACCAAAATTAACGAGTGTCACAATCAAAATATAAGTTCTAGCTACCGTATTTCACCCTCGGGGTCAAGAATTTTACCTAGAGTTTTAGATGGGGTCTTTATTTCGGGAAGAGCTTGAAATTCGGGAGGGCTGCAGTTAATTACGCATGCATAATGGTCGAGCGTTTCGTAAAGCTTTATTGGTCTTTAATCAGACTTACAGTACGTGGAAGTAAACTGTTGACTGCATCCCACATAAACCAAAACGAAAAACATCAAACACAGCGGCAACTACCCACAGAATGTCCATATATTTCAACGTACTTAATGCTGCTGTGTTCGGAGATGCACCGGAATTAGCGCTTGCAGGTGGCGGTTATCCCCACCGCCTAATCACAAAATACATAATTAAAATTTCTTTTAACGCCGCATGGTACGTGGAGCGCATGATCTTACCGGAAGCTGCGGGAGTAGTAGCTGACTGAGCAACTGTAACAAAACCACTCTGATATCAACATTTTGTCGTTGCCTAAAATTTAGCCGTGTGAAAGGTCATGTGTAATACTAACGGGCTTGGTTGATAGCATTGATTAGCATAGCAATCATCGTCGGTGACATTCCGGCGGCGTACGCTTCACCCTCACGGCTCCCTACGGAAGCTCCGTAACCACTGATGCCTAAGGAAGCTCCGTAGCCATCCCGTTTCTGGCGCAGTAAAGCGCGCAAATCTGTTACCGTAACTAACGGTAGAAATTTTTCAGACACGGCGCGAGCGTAGCTGCGTAGGTAAAAAACAGAGCAGTGAGCTGCATATTTCAAATTATATGCAACTATAACTATATTCCATAAACAAGTTAATTAAATACTGGTGTGTACATGATGTATGTGCTTACAATAATTAATATTTGTGCCACAAAAGACGTTCGTTGATATTTTGCAGTACAGATACAATTAATTTCTCGTACTAAAACTGCGAAAATCTTACCGTTGGCTTTCAGTAAATCATCCAGATATGGCACTACTTCTTCGAGGTCTTTCTACAATTTGCATTCGCAAGAAAATAGTAACACCAATCGGTTAAGTGAAAAATAATAAAACAATGCGTTACGCTAACTCGTTATGCTTCGATTGTTTATCTGTAAGAATTAAACAAAAAGATTTCTTAACCATAATTTAAACAGAGCACATATAAGGGTATGTTTCAGGTTATCCTAAAAAAGCAACTGTCGATATAACGCTTGATTTCCCTTCCACAACATATATACCATCAAAACTCAGTTTTTGTATGGTTATGGCGAGAAAATAGAAAGAAATATTGGCGCTGCCTGACCTTTGATCGCAGTACGGAAGGAAAGCCAAAAGCGCCACTGAATGATAAAACATAACATCCCAGTGTGACAACAACAAGTATCCTCAATCGATCCACAATCGAAATCCCGGTATGCATATTTTTTGGGTAGTTTTAGTAATCCTTAAAAGTACATGACAGTTTATTCCAGGCCGCCAGAAACCTGAGAAAGCAAAGACGACATTACGGTTGCATCATAAGCAACAGTCGCCCGTGTTATTACTCTCCAGTTTCCACAAACTGAAGACGTATGACTTCTTTATGGGAAATGCGGCAGTCAGCAGGAAGAATGCAGTTCATAGGCAATTTACAAGTGCCAGTACGTGCCGCATGTGCTCTTCAAAAAATGCTTCTTCTACCAAAAAATATCAGTTTTCTGAGCTTTCATGAAACATGTTCTGACACATTGTGCAAATTGTGTTATGAAGGGTAAAGTTTACATAGCACATGCGTAATAATTTGCGAACTTAATCCGTTTTCTCAATAACTACGTATATCCCTGTAAACCGTAAAGCTAACAACTGCCGTTGTTTATCGATAGAATATTTTTTGTTGATTCGGTAAAAGGGCGTCATAAAGCGGTTAAAATCTGTTTGGGAATGATCGCTGTACTTGCTAGCATCCAATGTACCGCGTTGGAAAGTAAGTAGCAAGCGTAGGCAAAATGTTGTGCTCCGTAGAGTTTGTTGATTCGGTAAAAGGGCGTCATAAAGCGGTTAAAATCTGTTTGGGAATGATCGCTGTACTTGCTAGCATCCAATGTACCGCGTTGGAAAGTAAGTAGCAAGCTTAGGCAAAATGTTGTGCTCCGTAGGATAAGTTTACTGTTAGCCTAAACGAACCGTACGAGAAGCAGTTTGGTATAAAACTGGCAAGAAAACAATTTCCACACCATCATTAAAAGAAAACAATTTCCATACTATCATTACAACTATTATCCAGCAACACAAGTGAAATAGACCCACACTACTTCACAACCAGAAACCGTCACCGGTGGCACAACGTAACAATATCCGGCTTCCCAAGACACCGGTAATGCACCCTATCGTTACGCCATAATGACCTTCCTCGACTGGACACTGATCAGCCATGCAAGAAGTCCAGCCGACTCTCCATCTCTGCCCTATTCAACCACGGAATTAGCTTCGCGGCGTTCGCGCATTGATAATCAATTCGGTGGACTGCATAACCCAGTCGTGAGTAGTACCATGAATTCTGAACCAACATTCAACATTGCCGCTACTTGCCGTTGTTAGATAATGAAAGTCCATTTGGTAAACAATTTTCTGCCCAAAAACATTTGTAATATTAGGGAAACGATATGACTCTCCACCTAAGCGCCAAGACTTTGTGCGTGCAGTGAAATGCGACCAATAGGGCTCTTCTTTAGGGGCCCATCTTGTTTCGCCATTTAAGCGCCACATAATGGAGTTGGGAAGGTTGTTAATGGTGCGTTGCGGCAAAGGAAGCCGAACTGCACAGGAGAAACAGACAACGTCACCTTGGACGACTGATTGCTTGGGCATGAACTCCGCAAATACTTCTACCGCTCGCGTAAGCTGAGGTTCAATGCTAAACCGCTTTAAAGTGACAGCTCGTTTGTAACCGAAGCTAGTTAACTCTTCCCAGCATACAACTTCTCCTTCCGACTGCAGGGACACACGGAGAATGCCAAAAATCCCAACGTGACCCCATGTAGTCACGTTATAAAGCTGATTATCGACTCCGTCATCAGTGATGCGTCTTCCTTTGTCAAATATAGTTCTGCCGAGGTGGGTCCAAGACACACCGTGTGTATTTTCTGTGGACGCCACGCAAGTTAGAATGACATTCTCTCCAATCCTGGGCTGAAGCACTTGAATATCAGAATACAAATTCAAAATTTTTGCGTTCTGATCCACTTGAGGAAACTTCAGTGTTATTCTGTCGTCTTTTAGATTGCTCCAGGACTCGTGAATGATATCATCCACTGCAAATAAGCTTTAAATTACATTCAGTTTCATTCGCAGTTGCGTTTAATTCAGGTGATTTCTAACAGCTCAACGCAGCTGCTCAGCAGGCTTTACTCTTCTGCTTGGAGAGAGTACAGATACAGCGGTGCGTCTTACAAGTACGAGTAGGATTATTGCCGGCGGACATTGAGCCGGGCGCTGCAGTTGATATTGTTGCTCTTGCAGTGGCAGTGGTAATCATCGAAGATCCTGTGGAAGTACGACTTTGCATTGGGACAGTACATGCGCTGCTCCAGTGCAGACCGGCACCAATTGCAAACACCAGTGGAACATAAAGTGTAAAAAAACGAAAGTCGTCTAATAAAGCACTGCGCACACGGCACATCTATGGGCCAGGCTGTGAGGTTTTGATAATACATGAGTATAACATCCACGCTGAAAGGCTCTGCGTGCCTCCAGCGGGTTCCGAGATTAAAAGGTTTCACATAAAATCTCATAAGCGAACAGCCGACATGCAATGGCCATCAGGTCTTTACACAACATTTCCATAACCTAAGAACGCAAAAATGCAGTAGAATCATCACCGCAATAGTACTTGTATCATTAGTACTATTCACACTAATATTCTGTACACAGATGGACGAGCTAATCAATAATAAGCAGAAATTGTAAATAATATAATAATAAGAGAATTATCTTTGGTATGCATGTAGTCTTTTTGGCCACGGTTGCTAGGGAGGTTGCTAAGGAGGTTGCTACGGTTTTCAAATTTATAAGGAAATAGATCTATGTTATGATCGGCCTCCCCGTGGAAAATGCGTGTCCGACCATTTCGGCATAGGGACATTTCGGCATAGGACACTTCGGCATAAGACATTTCGGCATAAGGACATTTCGGCATGTGGACATTTCGGCATAAGGACATTTCGGCATAATATGGACATTTCTATGTGTTTCTGTTTCCCGTAGTACCATTTTTTTGGTGCACATTTCATCCAATAATTTCATTAGAATATCTTTAAACAAACTTTTTAATGTAGTTGCCATTTCAAGTTTCTGGGGCTCTTTAGGTTCAGTATGCTTTTCTTAGGTTGTTTGGTTTTTTTAGCTTTTTTAGCCCTTCTTAGGTTCGGCTTAGATTTTCTTAGGTTTTTCATGTGTTCTCAGATTATGTTTGTCTTCTTAGAGCTTCTTAGGTTTTCTTAGGTCATTTTGGTACTTCTTAAATTTACTTAGATTTTGTGAGGTTCTCTTATGTTTTCTAAAGTCTTGTTTGTTTTTCTTAGCCTTCTTAGATTTTCTTAGGTGTTATTAGGTCCTTTCGGGCCTATTGAGGTTGCTCCGGTTTTCTTAAGTTGTTTTAGGCTTTCATACAATTTTTTATGTTTTTGTATTTTCCTGCGCTTCCTATGTTTTTATTTTCCTGAGGTTATTGTTTTCGGTTTTTGTTAGAGGTTTAGATTTGCTTGGGTCCTTTGTTTGTTTCTGGAATTTTTAGCGTTGCTAGTTTCATAAATTTCTAAGTTTCGGTTAATTTCATAGGTTAATAAATTTTTTAGACATTAATTATATACTCGAAGATTTTATGCCGAAATGGCCGTATGCCGAAATGTCCCTCTGCCGAAATGGTCTTATGCCGAAATGTCTTATGCCGAAGTGTCCTATGCCGGTATCTGTAGAGGTAGAGGAGTTCAAAGGGACCTTGAAAACCTATAACAGTACGGCTGCGTCGCGCGTCGTCGTGCGTTATTTTAAAAGAAGAGTAGCTTATCAGAAAGTTGATTTAGAGCCAAAAATTAGAAGCAATCTGCAATCAGAATTAACAGCAAGACATAACAATAAAGGCATCGTCGCACTGCCAGTAACTTTCGGTAACCGATCAATTGCGATCAATTGTCTCTTGCATTTGCATTTGCACACGCATTTGCATTAACCTCAGATGTTTTAATTTTATCAAATCAGTGATATTTCTGTTTTAAATAGTTATTTTACATTACTTAATTATTTTAAAATGCACATGCATTTGAAACATTTCGCTTAAGGCCAACCTGTTATTAACTGGTAGATAATTTTAGGTGTGATTCCTCTCGAAGAAGACAGGGTAACACAGAAAGCATGCACTTCAACCGTAAGTGACGCTCAGGGTAAGAAATTTAAAACAAAATTAATAGAAGGTATATAATTCTTAAACAGCTGTAGTTGATCAGTAACACATGCTTTTTATTGTGGCAAACTTTCGTGTGCTTACCTTAACAAATCTTGCCCAATACTGTATTTCAAAAAATTTCTATCAATTTGAAGTTTAACAAACGTTTTGTTTTTTTATGCTCGACTGAACGAACGACTGAATATTAGCGGAAGAAACAGTGTGCAGTGTAATCGTTACCTAACTTCACTAATATCGCAAACATTTACGGGGATGCTACTTTGAAACGTCGGAGCATTTGTGCTTAGAAAATGGTCTGCGACCCTGGATGGACTTGTCAGATGGGAGTCATAGTGTTCCCGTCCAGTTCCGATCACAGTTTGAATTGTGAATCGTTCGATAAGGACTGCTTGCAAGTGACAGAAAACCGATACAGCGCCAATTCGATGGAGGTGCACTGTAAACGCGACGGTGTGTAGCAATTGTAGAACTTGACCTTTACATGTTCCGAAAGTCACCAAGTTGTTTACGGAAGTCTGTTCCGTGTGAGATTACTGTAATGTCATTTATATCGTGAGTCACTTAGATGTTTCCGATAATTCTGCTTTCTGTGTTCTTTTCAGTTCCAGTACACAAGCACACTGCTGCTTCGCACGGCGCAATAGAATTAGTACTAGTTACAAACAAGCACATGGTGCCGTCCTAGTATTTTTTATTATTTTAATGGTTATTTAGTAGTATTAATATTAGGTTTCTATACATCGTAGGGCGCCGGGCAAGAGATCACCGGCCGGAGCAGAGCCTCCTGGCCCTGCTGGAACGCGTCCAGAACCGTGGCCACCGTACGTGCGGCATGCACGGAATGGTGCCGCTCGGCACAGGACTGCGCCGCGGGGGAGGAGTTCATCTTCAACGGATGTGGACACTGGACAGCAGTGCGCCAAACGGTCGCATCTTGTTCTAATAGGCGCGCCATCTTACAGTTAGTATTAATTAATAATTACTCACACGGACTTATCAAGTGATACGAGCTGTTGATATCATGATCAGTTAAACATATAAGCAGCAAATGCGTGGAAATTACTGTGAGAAAACGCTGCACAGTCATGAGTTAGGGAGATCCCTCAAGGTGGTCAACCACAGATGAATAAACCCCCCCATCCAGTGGCGGAAGCGCCATTGGGTTTTCGGGCTCCCATGAGTCAGATGCAGACCTGTGGCGCTGCAGGCCCACAGTTTATTCAGCATCAGTTTGACCATATCGGGATAATCAACTGCCACGTTGTCCAGCTCACAGAATCCGCGTACAGGTCGGATAAGCACGGGCTCATTTACATATTGCAAGGTTGGTCTGCTCTAAGGCACATTGCACGGAAGCCGGCAACGACGCATTAACGTAACCCGAAATAATACCGTCTACGGGTTTGTGACTAACATAATCGCACTTATTCTTATTAACTGCAGGATAGCAGAAAAAATGTTATTGCAATGAAAGACTACAATTTAGGGCAATAATTACAATTTTAGAATAACTTTTATTGGTCAGACATCCGATCATGCTGGGGAAGCAGCAGAAGCGGCCGAACCCTGGAAATGCGGAAAGTACATATATACCGTAATTATCGGATTTGTGCCCCTCTGCAATAAGAGCCCCCCGTAATAAGCGCTCCTCCCCGACCCTGTTTGAAAAATAAAGCCACCCCCCGAAATTACGCCCCAGGGGGCTGTTAATAAATAACAAGCGCAGCAAAACGTACTAATAGTGGTACACGGTAAATTGTTTCAAAGTCATACCGCTCATTTAATCATACCGCTAGTTGTTAACTGCAGGTGTTAACATATGAGCACAATACAAGGTAGAGTACCGTAATAATAGATAGGTAATCGTAGGTAATACATAGGTAATCATTAATACATAATTAATACATAATGATTATCTGTACTGTACATAGGTAATCATATTGAGTAGCTTAGTTGAAATCAGAGTCACCCGATCGTTGATCAGTTTCAGCTCTTCCGTCTCATCTTCCGTTGTATCGTTGACAACGCCGGTCACATCGTTCTTTAGCAAAACCCGCCCTTCTTCGCAACACATTTTTTTCGAAATATAATGGCCCATACCGAAACATATTGTTGGAAAAAATGTCACCCCCCGAAATTGCACCCCGTTCCCGAAATAAGCCCCTCTCCGCCATGACCTTCGAACTATTTGCACCCCAGGGCCACAAATTCAATAATTACGGTATGCTGGCTGACTTGGCTGGCCGGTACATTTTCCAACCCGTCGCGTTAGAAACAATGGAAAGCTGCTGCCCTCAAACGTTGGAAACCAGGGATTTTATTAATGAGCTGGCCAGACGCATCAGAAAGCAGACTGGTGAAATTCGCGCGCCATCGCAGCGCATATAATCGTCCCTGACTGCATCCAGGAGTTAGTAGCTGCGTTCACATCGATGGTGCCGCGTTGACCAGCGCCAACCACTGATACAACTCATCGGTATTCCGTACCGGCATCCTACCAGCACCGGGCATAACAATGCTCCAGTCCATTCCACACCGTTCCTGGATGCCGAGCAACCGGCAGGCAGTCATACTGTATACAGTAATTACAGTAGTTTTATGGTCCTGCATTCAAGGACAACGTCTTTTCTGTTATGAGTAGTCTACGAGCTCGTGCAGGTGCATACCTGATTAAGTTCCAGACATTAAACAACAATAAGATAATGCGTGCTATTTCTAGCCAACGGCCGAAGTGTTTGGTGAAATCTGCATGTGTTGAGTCTGTCTGTCATTGTATTCATGATAACTTACGTCGTTCCAATCCTCTCATTAACTCTGTGTCCGATTATTTCGACCATTTAAATTATTAATATGTACTCGTAGTATTCTCTCACTGGTTGAGAAACTACATAAATGCTAACGTATTATCAAATTGTTTGCCACATTAAGAACAATATTCGGTAGTATTCAGTTAAATTAAACTATCTGTAAATCACTTCTTCCACGAGAGACTCATCCGCACTATTTCTCATTTTTCTTGTATTTTACGGCTTCAGCCACCAGGTCACACCGGCTAGGCCTCACAGGTAGAAACAAGAACGGCCTTCCCCAATCCAGATAAGAGACATTTTTCTGGAGAGACCTGGACATTTTTCTTCCGCGTGCACTGCGGAGTGCGGACTTTACTGCAGTTACGGAAGTGGACTGCTAAATTTGATTCGGCTGCATTACGATAATCTAAAAAGTTCTCAACACCATTGACAGAAGGCTTTACCGTTCTCCTTACCCATATTGCATACGCATGCACTGATAATCGATTGATGTGCAAAATAATATACAGCATGAATTTCCCGTGATCCGCACCCTGTAGTGCAGCTTCATCGGACGCGCACAGTGATGCTAACCATTTCGACTCTGGACGATGACGATAAATGTCTACTTTACCACACGTATTGGTAGTATTGGAGCTGATAGTTTGTCCGTATTAAAGCTAGGTTATCCAATCTTTTTTCTGCGATACCCGATCCGAGCACGAAATTCCAAAATTATTGGAATGGATCCTGTGACCTCACACGGTAGTAACTTTGGCGGTAACGCGGATCAAGGACAGTACGACCGACTTAAAGCTGAATTTCTTGAATTTCGAGACAATTTATCCGCTTCTTATGCGCTGCTCCTTGCGAATGTACAGCAGCTTAACGAAAAACGTTACGATCTTTATTTTTTCTTGACAATTGTAATTGTGCCCGGGTCTGTGACAGTCTTAGCCAACATATTAGCGCATCTGTGTCTCCGGTGTTTCGATAGATGCAAATGCAAATGGCGGAGTGAGTGTTGGTGTCACGCAGGAGGCATTGATAAGGAGCTGATTGTTATCATTAATACTGCAATGTTGGACCCTGTTTTTGCATCGATGATTAATGAAACATATCACTATTTCTGTTTTGCGACTCGTCAAACGCTACAGCTTGGTAAGCGCCTTTGTCTTTAGTCTTATTCGCACGGTTCGCGTGTGTGGGATGGTACAACAATAACACATAACAATAAGCCTGCGCGCGCTTGTATAAACCTTGTAAATGTATAAAATGATGAAAAGATAGTTGACCTTCCTTGACTGACCAGGGGAGACGATTGTCCGAATGCATACGGAAGCTGTAACGGCTTTAATGTATCAATGGGACGTCGGAGGTCATTATGAGCTGCGATATGCACCGGGGCCAGCACCCAGCAAAACGAGACTGGCTAACATTGGAACAGAAGCAATGGAGGAAAGGAACCTCCGGAAACTGCTTGTGACAACTCATATGCTGTACAAGTGGTGCCAGATTGCGTCTTTTGGTAAGCTAGTTTTTATAGCGGTAAACTTAAAAAGAGAAAGTACTCGATGCTGATAAATAGCTATTTGAGGGCAGACGCAATCGTGTAACGATGTAACCATTGCACTCGGGAGTTTTCGTCCATGTGCACGAACTTCATACCATGTACAGGACCACTTCCCTTAATACTATAGGCAAAGAAATATCACGTAAGTAATATTTCCTGTACTGCACCTGCCGAAACGAAGTCTTCGACTGTTACGTACGATTACCCTGACAGTAATATAAATTATTTTTGCTGCGGTTTTGCTACACAGTATTTCGTACACGGCTGCAGAGTAGAAGTATACTATTTGACGACTGCGCAGCAGTGCGTTCGTTTTATACTGGTTTGATTTCTTGCTTTTTTACATGGAAGATTCGATTAGTTTTCTGAAATTTAATGGCACAGAAAAATATAATGCTGTTCATGTAAGTAAGAAAACAGATTTCATAAATTAAATGCACCCATGCAGTTGTTTTCCAAACCAAAATGACTACGCGCGGAATCGCGGATAGAGTTGCATACGGTTCATGTACGAGCAATATGTTATATTTCAAGGTACTCACTGAAACAGATTTATCACTAATCCCCAATATCAGTCCGTGCTCGGTCGGCTTGTTTTGTAATGTTAAGTGCAGCAGCAGTAAGTGTTGTTTAATTTGTACTAAATATTGCGTATTTGAGTGTTATTCTAGACGTTTTAGTGATGTTTTATGTGTAGTTAGCGGCATATGTTCATGCAGACATGGCCACCTATTGGAAGTGGCTAAACAATGAGTTTTATAGCACCTATAGATATTACAAGCCTAAATACAAGGTGTCAAGCCAGATGCTAAGAGAACGGCCGGGTTGGACGGCGCTTTAATAAATGAAAAACGAAGAGGACAGAAGTCAGCCAGAACAGGCCCTAAGATACATAGATACTGGGATAAGCCCTATATATCTTGGTGAACCTATAACATATCTTGGTTTATCCCTACAAAGTAGTTTTTATATATTAACCTTGAATATAGTGGACATGCTTGTCATTATTTGCTTCTCATCAGTTTGTCATCTGTCATTATGATCAAAATATTTTATACAAAAACTTAGTAATATATTATCGCACACTAAACTGATTATGACCTAACAGTTAGTATTTAAAACGTCCATGGCGTTCAACGTTTCGAAATTCAACGTTTTGATGTACCTAACTTGGTAGAACCTCTTCTTAATTAAATATTAAGAATTATATCACACTGAGCATTACATTTTTTTAAATAGACAACCTGGCTGCGTGTATCGAGATTGCGCGGGAATATACCTGTGATCTGAATCTCCTGAATGCGTATATTGAGCGAGCGTAAGTGCTTATCGATCCATAATACTCGTTACTTAGATTTTTAACAGTCGTTGATTTTAAGTTTTACCTAATTGTTTAAAAACTTATTTCGGCTACTATTTTATACTTCGTATTCCTGTAAGTAATATTGCTGACGCACGATTGTTAATCAGTACGTTGGAAATAAAATTGTTTACGTCAAAGTAACTAGTTTTTGCAATTCATTTCTCGTATTCGTGACAATGAGCAAATTGTTCATCGTCAGGAAGGTCAAATGACAGCTTAAAAAAAGTTCTCCTGCATGACAGATACGGAAATTAGGATAGTTAATTCAAGGCAAGAGATGCTTAGCAGTTTGCGCTTATATCTGTACTTCCGGTGCATGCGGCTGTATGTACCTCTAATCATTGCAATCAGTAACCAAGCCACTTCTCTTTTTTACTAGGTTCCGTGCCCATCGGCAAATTATGGGTTAGACACATCCCGAGAATCAACAGCAATATGTGGAATGATCATGGATGATGTTGTTTTACCTACGTGCATATGCCACAGTTTAACAGCGCCATTATAACGGGCGTAAAAATGTACATATTTTTGTTTGTTCACAGTGGCTTCTTTTCAAATTGTATAATTATTTCCATTTAACTTTAAATGTGGCAGGTTATATTACTGAGAACGTACGTTTAAATTTCTATTCTTTTATTACAATTAGCGTCTACGTGCGGTGGCTTTTTTAGAAAGCGAACTGGCTGTTGCCGAACGAAGCGTTGTCAATATTGTCTTACCATGTATGTAAAAACCGGTTGTGCAACCAATCCTATTCTGGCTATACATAATAATTATAAATTTATGACATGCAAGAATTACAGTTACATATATTGATATCAATCCTAGATATCTAGGACATGTTAGTTCTGTTAGTAGTTTTTGTTGTTAGTAGTCGATCACTAACAGAAACGCACCGGGTTATTGAAATATATACATAGTTGTCCGTAGGTAACAGCGTCATATAGCAGCGTTATTTATAGTTATTAAATTGGGTTGGCCGTTGGCTAAATTTTATTGGTAATTCTGCTAAAAACTGATCGCTGACCTTTGCGTGTGGACCGATGTGGTAATGCACGCGCGCCGGGATAACTTCAGTCGGTCTGCCGTTGACAGTTATTATTTTGTGCAAAACCTGACGCATGGTGCAGCAGTTACAACTTTCCATCGGACTGCATAATTTGAGTAAGTACGTGTACAGTACCTACTTTATTTTCTTTACCAAGAGCGGTTCCCGTAAATCAGTGCCCCGGAAATTTCTGTCACCAACTGGCTGAGAAATTTTGTCTTTGTGACTACTGAAACCGCGAAGGCAACCCATGCTAACCGGATTAAGTGAATAACGGAGACCTGGATTCCACTGGCCCAAGAATCGGAAACGTCTTGCAGTTTCCCGTCGACAATGATCTCCACAGTCAGAATTTTTTAAATGAGAAATAATCTTATTCTAATTTCAAAAAGGCTAGCGTCCCTTCGTCATCAGACTCACACGAGCACCTTCCAATTAGTCGAAAGAAAAAATTACGGGTACGGTTATATCTGTAGGTGGAGATTAATTATTATTATTGTTTTGCCAAGTGGACTTTAATATTAATCTGCTAAAACAACTGCGAAAATTGGACAACAGCGTGCATGCATGCATAGGAAAAAGTTCAAGAGGCCTAACAAAATTAAAGGATTTTCTATCTGTCCTACCGCTGCCTATATGAGGACGGGTAATTACATTTACCGTATATGGAATTTTTCGCATATAATCTCGATAAAAGTTTTTCTGTTCTTACGTAAACACCAGAAAGCTTTTTAGAATAATACATAGAACCAATTTACATTAATTAATTTCGGCGCACCCGCTTTGTTAATATTATGCTGCTATACTAGCCAAATACCACGTATGCACAGTACCCGGTTTCCACGGCAGATTTCAAAATTTGTATTTCCGGTGCCATTAACAAAACAATTGGGCGCTGCCAACATACAAGCAACTCAGCGGCTGTTCGAGCGGCTACGCATGTGTCAGCTTTGATGTTGATCGCAGGCCACTAGACCCAAACTTTTTAAACTAGCCGCTGGCCTCTGACCGCCGTAGGGATCTACGAGCAGCGCTCTGGGCGGTTGGCGAGTGTGGCGAAAATCATGTAAGGCGCGATTCAAGTATTACGTAACGGAATTTTAGACCCTTTTCTACCACCCTACCGTTCAATATAACGCTGGCATAACAATTTTTTTCACCACCCTACCGCTTACGTAATGGCCGGTCTGACCCCCCCCGTACCAATAAAAAAATTTATTTTTCAAATGCAATAATTTCGACACATTTTGACAGTCATTTGTGCCACATCAGCAGATCTAGGAAAAGGATTAATCTCGCCACCGTCAACTATTTTAAAAAACCATTCTCTCTGCGAAAGCTCGTCCGCGTAACACACAGAAGAACAACTTAAACCGAAACAAATGTCTACCGCAAAAATGGCAGCCCGAAATGCACAATTATTACCGGCACTGGACTGTCTTTGGCAAGGCGGCATGCTGATCGTCAAACCTTTATGAAATTCGCCGCACAGGAAACGGTCTGAGATTTTACTTGCGGCGTCGGAGGGATGCCCAGGGAGTCCAGGTAGCAAACTGCGTTTGCCAGTGGCGCATAAACTGCTGCAATGTAGTGCTTTTTACCGGTGTACAATATCTGCACGCTGGTCTTTCCCTCCGTAAGGCCCTGCTTGATTCTTCGGGATGGATAAATCCGATTCCTATTTCGTTCTGTGTTAAACGCTGCATGGGCAGTGTTTAGATGTCACGTAACAGAAGCGGTTGACCCCCCCACCCCATGTAACAAATGCATAACGGATCGCATAACTACCCCCCTACCGGGTCAGTGTTACGTAATACTTGAATCGCGCCTAAGTAGCTTTCTGACTGTGCGGTTGGCACACCGCACAATCCACATGCTTAAATGCGTATTGTCGACGCAGAGGTTGCACTGGACGCGGGTTTTCAGGCTTTGCAGTCAGTAAACATTATTAGTGACGTTGCGCAAACGCGCTTCTGGTGGCAGTTGCTGGTCGCTCGTCGCTTTTATCCAGTCTGTGCTCTGTCTATCAGAGATAGAGCGCAGACTGGATAAAAGCGACGAGCGACAAGCAACTGCCACCAGAAGCGCGCTGCGCAACGTCACTATTATTCAGTATTCACTTCTCGTACAATTTTAAAGTTTCTGCCGTTTCAACGATTTTGCTTCTGGTCCTGCAAAACTTATTTTTATTAAAGCAGTTTTCATTTTTGCGGTAAATTTAATAATACGGTTCGGCACCATGGGCAAAATGGCTCTGAACTGGGGATTCCTTGCAAGCTTGAGCGACTTCGCTTGTTCCCTGACTTTTGGGCTGATGACGTTTATGCCCGTTCTCGCGTTCCCTTCCCTGATTTGTCCTCAAAAACCCCGCCACAACCTAGGGATAGCTGAAAAGTCATGGAGGAGAAGCAGCGGCATGGAGAACGGGCCATGTCAGCGGAAAGCGGAGTCGCATTCACTACAGTAAGTCACCACAGTTTGAGTGTTAGACTGCAAGTTACCGTTTTAGTGTTCTCAGATGAAGCAGATGGAGTCAAAAGTCTTGCCAATAAGTTATTTTATCATCTTTGCAGTTACTACAAAATGATTTCGTTTGTTTGACTTGCCACCAGTCGTTATTGTATCCTTAACTTCGCGGCGTCTGGCGGACAGCAGGAACGAGCGAGATCGCGTTAAGCAAGGTATGTGATAAAGGTGGTTCAGCTAAATAAATCCCTGTACTTGCTGATACTAGCAAACCTACTACACAGTATTTTTCCGTAGCTCGCCGTATTTGGAATGCATGATCTTCTGTTCATTTACTTTTATCGTTTATTTTCTTAGAATTCTTTTATTGTTTTAGGTGGTTCGTATTTTGATTGCTTCGTCATTTCGGTTCGTAACTTCATATTCAATTTCTCATTTTATTAAGTTTAGATAAATGAATTAATAAAAGCCGATTAGATTATAAAACTTTGAATCTGTGCTGACACATTTTAACAAAGTCGGGTTTTTTCACAGTGTATCTGAGCAGCCCGCGGGGAGTTTGGGCTGGCCTAGGGACAGCTGCCTTCAACGCCTGGATGGATTAACACGTGAAATCCTACGCCAAGAAAGACAATATTTCAGGACATCTCGGGTAAAACGAAATCGGTTTTGGTAGAACTTAAGATCGACGCGCTTGTTCTATAATTAATTATGCTGTCGATGTTGTTTTTTGTTTTTCTCCAGCGATGTGATAATAGCTGTGTCTTAATGTTACTGTTGTTGGCAATATTTTTCAAGCGTTTAATTTGTTACAGCGCTCGCTCACAGCGCAGGGCTGTTTTTATTAATAAAACTGATAAACTGTGACTGGTTTTGCATTGGCGTTCGCGTTAAACAACAGCGAAAATATAGTTAGTTCGCACGCCTTCTTTACTACACTATCTCCCAACCACCACCTCAATAGCCGCTGTTTTGCACTGACCCAGCATCCGAACATTAGTTCTCTCATACCTCCCTGTTATTCACGTACGGCGTGTACCGCTCTTGGGCAGTACTTTTGTGTGCTGTGGTTGACAAAAAAATAGTGTTCCAATTTCTGATGGGGTTCTTACGCCGGTAGAAACGCTTTATGGGGTCTGCGCCAGTACCATGCACAGATCAAGTTAGAAAGAAACAGGTGCTGGTGAGCTAGAAATCTGATCTTAAAAACGAGGCTTTTTTAAACCGGGGTAGAGCCCTGGGGGCTCTAATGCACAGTATTGAACACTCACTAAATCATCGTTTTTTGTCTCGATAACTGTATGCATGTAGTTCATACATTAATGCATTGATATTAATAATAATAATTAATCTCGTTAAAGCTAAAGTCTCATGAGCGCGTTATTCATTTGAAATATTAGGCCCCCCCCCCCCCCCCCCCCCCGGTAATAAACGCTCCCTGTGGTTTTATTTGGATTTTACGGTTGGTGTTTCGATGTTATTTCTGTATATTGAAAATTTGCAGGCCAACAACGTCTTATATAACGTTCAGTTTTGCACCCGGTGGAGCTGGTTTCTGTTTAAGTTCCGTTGTGATACGCCAAATCAAATCAGAAGTCAGTAAACAGTTTGGCGGAGCAGGATTGGAACCGTTGTGCCGGAAGATGTCCGGTTTGGCCGATGAAGTATGTACAGCCCTGCCGGGCCAAGTTGGGACAGTTGCATAAAATAAATTATAAAATATCGTGTATTCATCGTTCTACTTTTATCTTTTAACATTGTCAGTATAACTTTTTATTACGAATCCAGAACTGTCAAAACCGGTCAGTTCGGGTGTGCTAGTTGCGTAATGCGTACTCAGTGGAAGCGAAGTTGGGTACGAGGAGGATTATAGTTGAGTCGGTAGCGCATAGCTGCTGCGAGTTAAACTGAACAGTGAACACCGTTTCGGTAAGCTGTTGACGTAACAGCCAACCGTGGATGGTTGCACAAACCCTTAGCTGCGGTTGGTAAGTAAACAGTCCAACCCCCCCACGGCTGACTGTTGTTCAGTTGTTTGAAATGCAACCATCCACGGTTGACTGTTACGCCAGTAGCTTTCGGAACTGGTGTTCAGTTTAACTCGCAGCAGCTATGCGCTACCGACTCAACTATAATCCTCCTCGTATCGTTGCAATAGCAAATAAACAGGATCCGGAGTAGTAAAAAAATAAACCCTTTTTCTTTTACCAGTAATGATTGATTATTTCGCAATTAATACATGTTAAAATGAACACGTTTTGTTAGGCCCGGGCTTGTACTTCGGGACGGGTCACTATAGCTCATAACGGTATGGCATGCATGGTGGTTTGTATTTTGGGACGGGTCTCTAAATCGGGAAGGATCACTGATTGATAAAATACGATAAATTCTGTACAAGATAATAAACAGATAAAACTGTAAAATTGTGCGTTCTTTGTGCCAGGAGGCACGGCACGAGGGTGCCGAGAGTTACTTGTTGAACTCGTGTTACTTGTTACTTGCTGAAATTGAGCTGATTACATACTGCCAAATGTATAGTATTAATGTAGTATTAGTACCATTTACGCTATAAACTACAAAAGTAAAAAACACTTGCAAATGGCAATGTCTGCCGTCAACGTCAAAACAGCAGTAACGGAAAAACGTCTCCCATAAAAAAATACAGATTCTGCACGGAGATGTTGGTTATAGTATTTAGTACATGGAGTTAAAGGTAGTGTGCGGATGGAAGTGCACTGAACAAAAACTATTCTTAGTAATTATGTAAATCGAATAGCTTAAAGTTACTACATAATTATTACCTTAATAATTATGTAAATAGAAATTTATAGAATAGCTTAAAGTTACATATTTATATAATTTCTTGACCTTTAGAAGATCGAATTTTGGCGGATTACGGCCGCATCGTGACTGAAAAAACAGCCTTACTGAAGTTACTGGCGGACAATTCGGACACAGAATTTGTTGCTCCCCTTTCCAAAGAACTCGAGAAGGAACTGAAGAATCTGCGCAAAACGGTTGAAAAGTCCCCGGCTCTTCAAAAACTTATTGCGGGAACGCTATCGTACTGCTTCTATGTCGTACTGATTGAACGCGGTAGTCAAATTTTTTCAGTAATACTATACCTACTGTACAATACTGCGTATAATACGTTATTTAAGTAAATTTTTGTGGGTTTCAGAAATTTTGGCCCTTGAAGAACACCAGAGCGGCGTGGAAGGGATTCTTGGATCGATCCTGGATGACCGGAAAGCTGCAAGGCTGCCCATTGCGCAATAAGCGGCAATGGCCGGCAGCGCAGCCACTAGTAAAAATTTCACCGCGGACCGCCTGTGCATATAAAACGATTCAGTGCATGCAGCTTGCCTGTTTCCAATTTCTTCTATTCCATCCAAACCCCGTTTCCTAATATTTTCCCCTGCATCCATTCCAATGATCCCATGATATACTTTTTGATCTCATGCTATCTGTTTTCTCTTTTCATTTTAATCGTACCGTTTTGATTACTTATCAACTCTTGCCCTGGATTTGCAAACTGTTTAACCGCATTAATGGTATAAATTTGCACACCACCAGTTATTACCCGTTGAGTGTTAGTCAGCTTCCGGTCAGCATCGCAGTCGACCTTTATGGATTTTCGCGTCACGGACACATTTTTTGCGATGCGTGCTTTGATCAATATTCGTGACTATAAGCACTGCTCTTGAAATTACCAATTTGAATCAATGAAAAGCATGGTCGCAGATGGCTAGCAGCGTCTGGATTAATTGAAACACTTAATGTTTGCACGTACCTCATGGTTTTCTAGCCGAAAAAAACAGGATGTAGCTGTTCATTTAAAAAGTCGTTCTATTGATTTATCTGGGTGACAAGGATCGCAGATATTAATCTTACAATATGTTTCATGATATAATAATGTTATCGTATGGCATACCTGTCACCTGAATCGATTAGCGATTGGATTTTCGTCAGTACTCGTATACTTCAGTATGGGTCGGTTAGTGGTACCGGCGGCACCCGCTACTGCTTAACTTTTTCATGGTCATTGTCAATTCATGGATCCGGTGCAAATTGTTTTCTTTCTGGCAATTAACAGCGCAAGCGATACTCATCACGAGTGGTTCCTGTGCGATTTTGCCGGCTGCCGTGGAACGTTATTTTTTACAGAACGACTCTACGCCCGTGAAAGTGGAACCCGTCACAGTTTTTCTAAATTTTATTCTTCCACATCATAGCTTCACACAGTACGTCCTTATAGTCGACATTTCGAACCAAAAGCTGACGTCAGACACAGCCGCGCAGATGTACTCATACTCCGAATCGGAAACGTCCAAGCTCGACTGAATAAAAAATTGTATTGCGCCATGCGTGTGCACATATGTTCGTGTAGTACGAACTGGAGCAATAGGGGGAATGATATCGTTTAAACCGATACATGGAACGATTATTACGCTAGCTAGTCGTACATATTTATTGTGAATCACTTCGCTCAATATCAGGTTGCGGTATCAACGAAGGGGTACGATTGACGATAGAATTAACGACGGGGTACAATTAAGCAGGTTGCGGTATCAACGAAGGGGTACGATTGACGATAGAATTAACGACGGGGTACAATTAACGAACGTTTAAACGGCAGTACCCGTCGTTATTAACGAAACGAAGGGGGTATCGTTTCGTTAATAACGACGTTGAAATTCAGTAATGAACGACTGGGCCCAAATGGACCATTGAGCACGAAGACTGCATAAGCGAGACAGTCTACCCAGTGAATTTCTGCCTGGGCATTCAATCCTGAGTTGCCCACTCGACTCGAAATTTCGAAAATTGTACCAGTCTTGACAGTTGAACTTCTGTCAGTGATTTTTTTGCCAGCTATTTAGAAAGCAAAATAATTTACTTTGTCATAAATGTGAAAATTATTGTAAAAACTAAAACACAGTTAGTGATACGAATGCTTTGCTGATTCAGCAATCAAATGTTCTAACTTCTGTAGCAGCTTTGTAGCGTGTACTGTGCATCACTGCATATTCACCAGTTTTCAAAAAATTCACGCATTTCAGAATGAAATGACTGATCTTTATAACGTCTGTGCTAAACTTAAACCGCAGTTCTCTCTAACGTTTTTACATCACATGAAAAATCTGCATTTTGTTATCTTTACGCTGGTAAACAAAATGATGAATGGAAACTGGTTGATAACAATTCCTCCCGTTAATTTTAGGGGTAGTAAATTGTTCAGTGTATAACGCAACCTCTTATTCGAATCAACGGAACTTTAAATTAACAACGCTAAAACCGTCGTTAATTTTGCCGTTAATCCTTTGGCCGTTGCCTTTTACAGCAAAGTTCCTTTTACAGCGTTGCCTTTTACGTTGCCTTTTACAGCAAAGTTCGAGAAGGCCAGTAATAAAGTGAACTGTGTACTTTACGTAAACCCTCCTTCATACCACCTTTGGCTCCTAGTACCACTTTTTTAACTTCAATACCACCTTAATTTATATTCCGTACTACAGATTCAGATAAATGTAGTTCAAACAGGTAAAAATGAAAAGTTGTAACGATTTTGCCACAAAATGCGAAAAAAGCACCAAATCATGTAAAAAAAGTACTGTACTGCTACCCTGCACTTGTCCATACTTTTGTACGGTATGAGCCCAGTCAGCCCATTGTACTGTAGGCGAGTGAGAGCTAAAGCCGCTCACGTTCAGTCAGCTGCCTGCAGTCTGCACGCAGTTGCAGGCCGTGTATGTGAATCGTGAACAGCGCTCATACAACGTACGTGCGCTTGCACTGCAAAATAAATGGACAAGTGCAGGGTAGCAGTACGTACTTAAGACAGAGCAAAAATTGTACATTACTTGACCGCATTAATGGAATAAGCAGGGCGCTATCCACTGGAAACCGAGAAACGGCTGAAAAAGGCGCCGATGGGGGAATCGAACCCCGGCTACGTCGTTAGATCCGCGTAGGCAGTACCACTACACCACGGCGCAATACGTTGAAATCATTTGAAAGATTTTGTCGCTGTACGTGAGCCGCTTCTCCGCTCACAATGGTATAAATTTGCATACCACCAGTGATTACCCGTGTATACCTATGGTTAGTCAGCTCCCGGTCAGCATCGCAGTCGGGCATGGTAAATACCTAATATCTGTTCCCAGTTGCAAGGCATCGGTTGATGAAAACGGCATTACATTATATCAGCAATAAGCAACCCTAAATTTTTTTCGATGAAGTATTGTCCACTGATGCGCGCAAACTTGTACTTGCACCTATATAGCCTTTAACAACGGTATTACTAATTAGGTACCGACACCGTTATAGTTATAGTGTAGTGCATGCACGTACTAGACAAATGTTGTACGAGTATCTCGTGAAATGGAATAATGGCCTATGGCTAATGCGCCGTAGCAAGGGTATTGTTGTTGTTCATTGTTGTTACCATGTTTAGTGTTTACTGATTGTGTATGGTGTGCTCGGTAGCGAGCAGCCGTATTAATAAAGAATACACCGCCGGTCCGCCGCTACATACTTACTATACACGACATATAGGCATCCATTCCCACTCCCGCATATTATAAGCACCCTTATTAAGTAAGCTTTGAGATAAATAAATCAATTTTGATGATGTTGCTAGAATCTGCGAAAACGGTACGATACTCGCACATCTTGAGTGTTCTGGAAAAGTGGAGTAGCATATTTGGATTCTAGCAGATATATACAGAAGATATAGATAGATCTAACGAGTGACCGAACTACCGGTACTGTCCAGTTTGCAGAGCCAGCTATGTATTTAGCCCGCTAGGTGAGCGGGTGACCGAGGGTATTACTAATTCGCGGACATGGACGGACGTGGACGGACGGACGGCTGGACAGGACGGACACTGGATGGACGGGGACAAAATGGAGGACGGACACTGGATGGACAAGGACATGGACAGTGGACGTGTGGTGGACAGATACGTACGAATTTTAATTTTTCGCGATTTGAACTACAAAGGACATACCAAGTTTTTCCCCATGTTGCCGGGTTGCCAATTTATGCTGCCATTTTGATTGTCATTTTTAATAATGAAATACAACGACTAATTGCCGTAAGTATGGTAAACGAGTGGCCAGATCCACCACAATGTACAATACGAACAGCTCATAATTCGTCAAGTGCCGTGTACGTGACAAGCGTGTCATTGTTTCTTTACAATTAACTTTCGGAATAAGGTGTTCAGACTTCCGCGAAAGTCTTCTTGTTAGTGCAGTTCGCACAGAACAGGCAGGCAGAAGTTGTTAAAAAATGGCTTTATAGCGGCTACGGAAACAGCCATGTACACTTAGAAAACGTGTGTAGCTGAAAACTAATTAACGCGTATAAGAGAAACGATTAAGTTTTGATCATATTTATTTGTGGGTATTAGAAATATGCCGGGAAACTTTCATAAGTTACAGAATGAATGTGATTAATTTTATCATCTTATGCCAGTCATATTGTGTTTGGGTGTACGTTATCGGAACAACCTTCAATTCTTATATGTAGTTTCTTTCCATTTATTACGAACTCGCTCAATCAAAACATCTGCAAAAGATTTCCCAGCAAAAGCTGCCATGCAAGCCTGCCAAATTTGTTTTCTACAAAATACAAATCACACCAAAAAGTCATTCCAAACCAAACAAATCCTCCACGCACAACCAGCAACCGCGTGTTCAGCGCAGGGATAAAAAAGTAAAAAATGGCAATGTACATACACATCAAAACTGGTGAATAAAGGCCGAAAAAAATGTTTAAATTATTGAAGCCAAATGTAAATCCGTGACAAGAACTGCCAGAAGCACACGCAAATCCTGTCGCATAACGTTCTAAACGTCAAAGTGCAAACAAGCAAAAAAACATGGTCCCAAAATCAAAACGAGGCACAGGAACAAATCAAAAAAGAAGGTCCAAGATGAATCCGGCGAAATATAGCGCAAAAGCCGCATAATAGTGACTATGACGAAGCCAGTTGACGTAAATCTATGTTAGCATTTCCACATAATTCGCCGGGAATAATCCGTACTGGCCACTGGGTGCCAATCCTTGATACCAACCTATACAAAAACCCGAAATCCAGTAAAACCTAATACTATCAAATTAACTGACAACAGACAAACTGCTGACACAGATTTCACACTGGAACAAATGCAAAACTTTTTACTGCAATTTGAATAAAAGCAAATAACGAAAAAACCGGAAAACCAAAATTTAGTAAAAAAAGAATACTAAAAAATTTAACGACAAATTATATTAAAATTTTTAACAACAATAAATAAATTGATATTTTTTAATACAATTTTGAAAGAAAAGCAAATCCTCCGAAAATCTCGTACACAACTCAACATATCCAAAAAAATGTGAAATTTTTACCTGGATCGATTTTGTCGACTTGCGTAATGATATCGCCAGGATCAAAAGAAATTTCCGTTTCATCAGCTGCAATAAACAGCACAATCGTCAGCCTCACACCTTCGAAACCGTGAATAACAGCAACTAAAACCCACCAGCCTGGTAATCATAAAGAGCGCGCGCCTGCAGCCCCTGATTCTGGCCGGAACTGCTAGCGCTGGACAGGGTCGGACTGGTTACGCCGGGATGCGTTGTTTTCTCCGGCTCTGCAAAATCAAAAAACCGCATAAAAATAATTACCAGTTTTCAACACAATTTCGCAGAACAATAAAAAACTGTGTAAAAATTCGGTAAATTTAGTTAAGGTTCAGTGGTATAGTAAAAATTTAGTTGTTCAGTAAAATTCTACTGCCAAAATTTTTATTTAACCCTAGCGCGGAAATCAAAACCCATATGAAATGAAAATACAATAAATTCTAACACAATTCAGGAAAATAATAAAGTACTACAAGAAACGTTTGCCGCTAAAATCTTCGCCCCGTTAAATCGCGGGAAAAAACGGACATACCATTCCATGCGTCTTCGTCATGCTCATGCTCATCATCACTCGGCGGGCGCACCGGCAATCCCTGTTTCCACGCATTCACCGCGTTTGTCGGGCTGACTTGCACATTGTCCATGGCTTTGTATCGGCATCGCGCACCTGCGTTCTGCCGCTGATCCGGTGGTATTCCTCGTGTTCCTCGTGCTTTGCCACTCCGTTATGCCCGTTAGTGTGGTAGTGCTCATGTTTGCCGTTTTCGTGACCACTATTCTGTCGTTCATATCGACCACTGCAAATACAAATCTGCATTCGTCGTAAAGAAAATAAATTCTCAAGATAAATTACTCGTATTTTAGTCGTCTCCTGATAAACACAAGATCATCACCATTCATCACAATCATACAACGCTAACGTAAATTTGGAAATTCGCTCTTCATGGAGCGGTGCAGAATATTGCCGTACTTCTTAGAAGCAATTATGCACTAGAAACAAACATTTTCTAAAAATCATTGCTCAAAAAATTATTTTATTTTTTAAGTTTAACGTACAAACTACATTCTCTTTGGCAATGCTAAGCAATTATGGATGACCCCTTCACCACTAAAACTGGGAAGATTAAAGGGTGCGACCACTGAACGGACATTGCTAACCGCGTAATTAATCAATTTGTACAGCGTGATGTAACAAATTCCACTGTCAGCAAAGCAGCGGACAATGAATTATCAATTACAAAAACATAACAAAATAGCTTTCGTATATAAACAGAGGTCACAATGAAGGTTATTACTTACAAATTTGCCGGTGCCTGCAATCATATCGTGCAAATTATTTGGTTTTCGACACATTTCCACTTGCTTGCAGAAATTCGTAGCATCATAATAATTATTCAGGTAGAGAGACTGTTCATTTTATGTGAACATTAGGAGTTTGTTTGCTAAAGAGGATTGCTCAGTCCTCATCTCGGTTTAGTTGAGGATTAATTTGCGCAGTCCTCATCTAAAACGAAAGCAAATATTCAGTTAGGCATTTGCATATCACCGCGGCTTTTTTCAAAATTAAAGAAGCGACGTAGGGTACTGCATTTATTCGTACAAGAACAGACGCAATAGTACGGTACACAATAACTGTACAGTACTGATACTACGACTTGTGTCTATCTGAATTACGGATTAGTAATAAGAAACAATATTAAAATTTGTTTTTACATAATTGCTGTGGTTGTACAGCAATATACGGCAGATATAAATATCGTATAAATGTAATTATAGATAGACACTTACACCTACTAGTAAGTACAATTGTACCCAGGGTACTCGTACTAGCGCATCATTGACGAAATTATGTATCTCACTAATTTTGCTTCCGTTCGTCGACGACCATACTAGATGAACGATTCAAAATAAAGATCGATAAACAATAGTGAAACCGGTCTTATGGCTATTTCCGGTTGTGCAGGTGAACAATGATAAAAGTCTTGCTAACAACTGCAAGTATTGTTCCATTTGGCTTGTGAGCAGTAGTCTTTAGTATTATTGGTACCTTTACATTATAAACTTACATACATGGCGTAGTTACAGATATACCGACAGATAGACACATTGTACGAGTACACTATTTGCACTAAATATCACTAAATATATTAAAAGAGTTGATGAGGAGAGAAGTGGCAGTGAAAGAACTGATTTTTGAGGGAATACTGCGGTTAGTCGGATCGAAATAGCACCGGCTTCGCGATCTTTTGTTAGGCTAGTTCTTCATTAATAGTTAAAATTCATTGGCTCTTAGATAACTCGGACAATACGTTCTTAAAAAAAACAATGTATCGTTGTTGTTTAACTCCAAATGGCAACCCGGCAACATGGGGAAAAACTTGGTATGTCCTTTGTAGTTCAAATCGCAAATAAGAAAAATTAAGATTCGTACGTATCTGCCCACCACACGTCCACTGTCCATGTCCTTGTCCATCCAGTGTCCGTCCTCCATTTTGTCCTCGTCCCCGTCCATCCAATGTCCGTCCTGTCCAGCCGTCCGTCCGTCCGTCCACGTCCGTCCATGTCCGCGAATTAGTAATACCCGTGACCGAGCTGTGTCACTACTGCCCAGTGCACAGAGTCCATTGGGTGAACGAGAGACCGAACTACTGGTATGCCGAAACGCCATGACGTCAGCCAAACTGTCGTTGTGTAAGTACTGTGTCTTATGATTGTCCTGTTCACCAGCAGGGCTAACGGTTTAATTTGAGTTGCATCTGCCACGTTGCTGAGATTTCCTGAGAATACTGTCAGTTAAACCGGTGTTGTCACCAGAAGCGAAACGCGAATATCCAATAATAAACGTGGGTGGGAGGGGGTACTTATAAACACCAATTACATTATCCATGCTGATTCCTGCATGAACTAAATTTACTGGCGTTATTAGCAAATACTGACTGATACGAGTATTTCAGCTTTTCAACCGATTTTTGTAACAAAATTACCGGCACGTTAATTGTGAAGTATACACAGGCTAGACTGCGTGCTGTGTTGCGGTCATTAGTTTTTACATGAAGATGTTTTTTTTAACAACCAAGTACTTGTAATTTTTATCATTTTACTATGGATCTATCATCAAAATTACGCGGTCCGGGGAAGCTCAGGTGATGACACATATTAAAGATCGCATACGGCAATATGTACTTTTATTGTATATAATTTGTTATACTGGTACCATGGCAAACTAAATACCAGCCTCCCAAACACATTTCTCAAATTTAATTTGCCATGCTCGTAACCTCGTTCAGACCTGTACACTACGAGTCTACGACTGATCTCACAAGTCAGTCGTTCTGTATACGTACTTCTACAGCTAGACTGGTCTACGATTCGGCTACCGCCTGGAATCTGTCACAAAACCTTGCCATTCTAATACGCATAAACCGACGAATTATAGCAAGGTCGTTATCGTATGGTGTGGCACTTATGTACTGTACAATTAGGACTTCAATGTCGTTACCGTGATGCTTATATTAAAAGTGCTGACGTAAAGAGATATGCACATCTGTCCACATTGCGCAATGGCACCGGCATGCACTAAAATATCAGGCGTACATATCTTCTCGGATTTATAACGCGCAAGACTGACGTGTGGTAGTCCGGTTTTCGGTCCGGTAGCAACTTTGCCAACCTCCTTCAGTGCCACACTCAGTACACTTCCAACATGCCATCAAAAACTCGGTCAAACACCACATTTTTCCCACCCAGAGAATTTCATTCGTCGCTTGTAATAAAACTGCATTAATTTTATTGATGTTCAGCCCATCTTTGGCCCGAAATGGCCAATAACAAAGGTTGCATAGCATTCAACCTTCATTCAACAATATTATTGCATTCAGTTAGTAACGCAATGATATTAAGGGAAGTGGCCCGGTACACGATACTAAATTTGCGTACATGCGAAAACTTTTACTTCACTCCCAGACACATTTCTACTTTGTTTTATGACATTCTGCCGCTAGAATGATTTGCATACATTGGCGTGAAAATCGTTGTGCGCGCAACATCCGGTTCGGGGGTTATGGTCGCAAAAAAAATTCCGAAAAGTTCAGATGCTCATTATACCAAAAGTCTCATTATGGAACGACCGATCTTCTTTAAATTTTGCACATAAATGCATGGCAATATGAGCACTATGAAGATTGTTTTTACACCGAATCAGAGTTGCACCATTTTTTCAAATTTTAAAAAGAATTTCAAATTTTTGTAAATTCATTTTAAAATGAGAAAACAATGTCAGAAAGGTGGTTCGACAAAGACAATCTTCATGTGTATGTGCGTTTACGTACCAAATTTGAGGGAGATCGGTACATAAGGAGACTTTTGGTACGCTCGAATAGATTTAAACTTTATGGAATTTTCTTGCAGCCATAACTCCCGAACCTAATGTTACGCACAAACGGTTTTACGCCAATGTATAGAATCATCTAGCTGCAAAATGTCATAAAACAAAGCAAAATGTGTTTGGGAGTGAGCGAAGGTGAAAGTTTTTGTTCATGTACACGAATTTGGTACCCGTGTACCGGGCCACGGATTCTGAAAAAACTACAAGGCTCAGCAGTAAGCGGAAAGGACGCACCAGTGAAAGCAATCGTCATGTTTCAAAATATATGTAGAAGTTCTCGCCTGCAAAATGCTGTGCTGTCGTAGCATGTGGTCAAGGAAGTATTTGGTATTTTTCAGTTTTCGTTCGGAATGCATGCGGAAATTTTGCAGAGACATTTTACGTTAAGCGGAATTCAATGGGAAAATACTTAGTTCTTCTTTATTTATTTTAAGCTCGGTTGTGGTGTGCGTTTTACGTTAAATGATTAGGTACTTTTGGTAGCTCTGTTTAAGCGGTCATCAGGAAACAGTCAGATCGGTTCACTTTATGTGAGATAAAATGTTAGTTGCACAACTAATAGTCGAAGAAATTAGCTAATTTTCTAATATCTGCTCCAATGCTTTTTAATAAATCGTGGAAACATATTTTGATCGTGGGCTAACTCTTTCTGAATTTCGACTGTTTCAGAATAACTGTTTCCGAAAAGTTGCATTTTCGAAACAAATTCAAATTTTAAGCATCTACATATTAGAAACGCGGGCGAGCGAAATACCAACGTTTGCCGTTCTAACCCAGTACTATCGAAATTTAACGGTATCTGCAATGCAGTTATTACCCACCAACCAGAGAATGGCCCTTGTGGCCACACAGTTTAAATTGATGCAAATTTAGTTAAAACTAGGAAAGTGCACCGCTGTTGGCCTGCACTAAAAGACCGAAGCGAAGCGGGAAAAGAAGTATAATAAAATGTTTGGCTGGGTTTGATTTAAAACTGCTTCAAAAACTCATTTTTTATGCAAAAATATTTTTTATTTAATGTTTCTGGGTGTTATTCTTCCATGTTTTTATTCAAAATTATTGAGCCGTGACCGACATGACCGACGTGACCGACGTGGCTGACAAAATTCCTGTTTTCTTGAACATAGAAGACCTTCGCTTTGTTTCTGTCGATTAGACTGTGAACATTTTTTTAAAATTTTCCCTTCTCATTGCTGTTTTGCACTTTTTGAGAGCCGCCCAGGAAAGTTTATTTTTGCCTTCTCTTTCGAAGCACGCGAAACTACTGTATATTGGTAGCAAATTTAAGTGCACTGTGAATCTGACATGAACTCTGTAAAGCTTATAGTGCGGTTCGCTTGGGATAATATTACTACTTCGGCTTTTGGTCAGGAGAGTTAAAAATACAGAAAAACTGTAAATGCCATTAAATCCAGCTTGTTCCGATCACCGAGTAATGATCAAAGGGCGGTGGTACTCGTAATGTATGTTCTCACGGAATGGAGATCGTTCCCTTTATTCAGTAGGCTTGGTCGGTAGATTATGGATAGACGTCTGACCTTTTGTACGTTCGGTTCGTTTGACAGCTGAAGTATTAGCGCTGTGTTGGGCAATGATAACGGTTCCGCTCTTATCTGGTCTACGCTGCTAACACTACAGCAATACGCTTCCCTTCCCCGTTACTTACAGAGTAGACTTTCGTTCACTCAGCAGACCTGATAATAATTATTATATCGGCGGTCACGTACGTTTCCTGTTATTCAGTAGGTGTGGACCGCTTGGTCAGTGGATACTGTGACGCTTTGCGCGGTTCTTTTATTCGACGTCTCAGCTACCCTGTTAGCACCGAGGCCCATCTCATATGGTCTTAATTTCTGAAAGCAGTAATTAACAGGAGTTCGGGCAGTTCCTGTAATTTCCGTTTAAATGCAACAGAAAGCATCGATGTGTAACATTTTAATTTTAACGAAGCAACAATTTCTTATAAGCTGGTGTCTTTAAATTAAACTTGATTTTGTCTGTGAATTAACTTGTTACGCGGCGTAGGCGCGTAATTGATTGATAGTACTGTACTCTAGGAAAAATGAACGTTGAGCGGAGCGCAGCAGCTTTTAGTTTGTACGAGTTATACCTTTTTATTTACTACCAGTGGCACTCCTAGCGCACAAGTACAATAAGCATAAGTACGTACTTAATCGACCGGAGCGTAGCGAAGGTCCTCTATTTCAAGAGTAATACTTTCGTTGATTTCTGTCCGTTACGAAAGGTCGTTACGAAAGGTTGTTACGAAAGGTTGTTACGAAAGCCATTTCCAAAGAGTAAATGGAAGTGTTTATGTTGCTAAGTCGTTTTGCATTAATTATTAAAGTGTATTATACATGCTGTACTCAACAGAAAATGCTGCGCTCCGGTCTGCCAAATGCACGCCAACGTGCATTTTTCCTAGTAATTTTAACTTAGCAACAAAATAATTTCCACTTAGTGTCTTCTTGTAGTTGTGGAAATTCTTTCTTTACTGGGCGTAACGGATAAAAATCGACGGAAGCACTGCTTCTGAAACAGAGGACGCTGCACTTCGTTCGAGTATTAAAAATAATTTCGATATAATATTATTTTAATATAAATATTTTATCCACATTAAAAGTAATTTGATATTAATAAGATTATCTAATAGTCTATAGTTCGCTTTTGCTTCCCGGAACTTGGCTAAACGGGGCACCTAAGACATCTGACAGCGTTGCTGCATGTCCTTCGATCTGCTACCAAGCAATGCACAGAATACGTTATGGTCCATTCCTTTATTGCAGTATTTTGCATTAATTTACTGATATGGGCAGCAAGACAGTATGGTGACGCCTGCAGTATAATACGAAAACCGTATTCAGCTGCAACCACATCTGGAGTTACATTGTCCGATGACGCAGACCTGGACCGTAAGTTGCAGAGCGGAATAATTTTTAAGGTGAAGGCTCCATGTACTACTTTTTACCTCCCTGTGGCTTCTCATACCACCTTTCATATCACTTTTGTTCGATCTTTGTCACATCATTTTGACTCCGCCACCATTTACTTCGTTCTTACAATTACATCAATATAATATTAACAGTTTTTGCGGAGTTGATCGATTCGCCGGCCGAAAGATCCGCGAACTAACCGGAGAACCTCGATCTACGGCCTTGTTGAGGCAGCGATTTAGCCTAGCGGTAGTTAGAGGAAATGCTGCAGCTGTTTTGGGAACAATGAGTGCACGATCTAAGATCGCAAATGATTCTAACGATTTTGGGTGTTTTTTTAATGTTTAAAATTTTATCATTTAAGTAGTGTAAATCTGCGCAAGCGTATCGATCCGTGCACTGGCTGTTGCCGAATAAAAAGTAAATATCAATAGATTCATATATCCTTACGTCCTTATTTTTTGGAAATTATCTCCTAAATCAAGATTGATTTTTTCAATAAGTTGATATTTTTATAAAATAGAGCATCGCGCAAACGTTCCTGCCTTCATCTTAAAAGAAATCTTAAGTTTTGGAGAAGGTCTAAAAAAATTTTTAGAAGCTGCAGTACTTAAAGGTTATTAGTACTTAAAGGTTGTTCGTTTTGGAAATTATCTCCTAATTCGAGATTCCATTTATGAGGCTTTTGATTATTTTATACAATCAAGCATCTTCTAAAGCTTCCTACCTGCAGCTTGGAAAAAAAATTTGGTTTCCAGAACGTTTTCAAAAACCCTTTCAAACTTTCAGTACTTAGCGTTTAAGTTCATAGAAATTTCCAGTAAATTCTAGAAACGTCTCGAATGAGCAAATACAAATTTCGCAACTTAGCAACCTAAACTATAGTTATTTAAAATTGCCAACCCCATCAAACTTATAATTTTTTTAAATTCTTGAAACCTTTAAGATGTTTTTAAATCTGTTTGAATACCTCAAAATAACTATGAATTTTTCGAAAGTCGGCTCCAAAGCTTTTACATTTCAAGAATCTCTAAATATTTCGACTCGGCCCCGCGCAGCGGGGCCCTTACCTCTAATTTCTTGAGCCTCCAAAGTTTCGAAATTTAAAAATATCTAAAAATCTGACTACCTCAATATCTCACGGTATAAATTGTCTAATTTTTTATATGTAATTTCTAAATATCTAAAAGCCAGCCCGCGGCTCGTTTACCGTATTCACTCACATAGCGGCTCTGTGATACTGGTGGTAGCTTGGTATTCACTAACCTCAAAATCTAATAAATATGTATTTATTTTATTTTTATAAATACTCAAGAGCTCGACTGAACGGCTCAAAATCTTACAATTATTAGCTAAAGATGCCAAAGACCTTGGGCAACCGTTAACTGTTTCTCACAAGTTTTCATTAATCCTAAGCTAAAATATCGGTTGAAATGATTTTTGTGAGCATCGCGTAAATGATCTTACTCCATTCATTTAATCACCGTTTAATATTATCGGTCGTGCAAAAATATTCAGGTTTGCAGTTCGTTAGATCGGCAATATGAAGTTACATTAAAAACGTGAAAAAGAAGCGTGAACAATGCAAACATTGTGGAGGCAAACCGTGAACAATGCAAAAATAAACATTGTGGAGGCTTTCACAGTTTTTATAACACTGGTCGAATTTAACCGGAAAGCTTGAAAATTGTCCGCATTTCTACATGTTGAAATATTTTCGTAGCTGGCCTCGCTGGGGTTTCGTACTTGAAATATTTTTCAAAATCATTGTTATTTCTGTACGAAGTATATTTTGCATTTTTTTCATTCTTCCATACCTCGAACACAACTGGTCGCGCGCTAGCGCGACCGATACTTGTATATAATATTATTATGACTGATATTGGTTCTAAGGAAGTAATATCTGGGCGGCTGAATGATGTCCGTAAAATGTAGAGAAATAAGAAATTCGGTGTTTACTATAAACAAAACAACCAGTCAACTAATACTGCATAGTTGCGGTAGAATCAGCGCTCTATCGCTACATTATATTATGCCATGATACTGTAGTACTGCCGAAAAACGGGTTGCGCACGGATGAAAGGTAGTACCAAAACCCATTCCACCGAATGAAAGGTAGGGCAAAAGTTGTGAACGGAGTGGCTTCCTAAAATTAATTTTTTTCCAGTTATGATCTCAGGCAACTGCAGAACACTTTTTGAGTAATACAGAACAGTAAAGGCGCAGTCCCACATATGTACATTTAGATAAAAATGTAAATTATTTCCTGAATCTGATTTTGTGCATTATCTACACTGAAGCTCAATTATACGGTATCGTGACATGATGTTATAAATTTTAGTGGATGATATTATTCAGCAGTCGCTGGGCAGCCGTGAAGATGATAAAATCACTCTAAAATTTCCTCATCGAAAGGATAAGAAAATCGACCATAAACGTCCTTCCAAGAGCCAGCTAGTGTATCGACCACGAATTGGCGAAAATGTACTAGTAACGTGTGAAGCACCCACAGAAAGCGCTCAAGCCATATCCTGGACACATCATGGCATAGCAGTATTTGGCGAAGGAAAACGCCTTGTGGATGACGGAACCAACAATCAATTCTATAATATCTCTTACCGGGGTCGAATCTCAGTTTTTGGCGTACTGAACGTGTCCCTGCAATCCGAAGGTGAGGTCACGTGTGTAGAAGAATCGAGCCACCTCGGCTACAAGAGCATAGTCCCCATTAAACGTTTCCGCATACTGCCTAAGGCTACTCTTGCCCGTGAAATTTTCGCGAAACCCATGGAAAACTTGTCAGTCAGGGAAGGCGAGAACTTAATTATCACTTGCAGTATCCGACTACCTCTTCCACAACACACAGTCAATAATTTTCACAACTCCATAATTTGGCGACTGAACGATGATACACATTGGGCACCTTACGAAGAACCTTACTGGACGTATTACCTGCGCAAATTTCCAAGCCAGTCGGCTTTACCAAACCATACTATTGACAAAAATATCACTAACACTCATGGATCTACAATTGATTACGGAATGCTCTTTCGTTTTTTACAACAGGAAGACAGCGGTGTCATCGAGTGCTGGTTCAGGCCCGATTTAACCAATCATGAGTGGATCGTGCAGTCAGCTCAAATAAGTGTACATCCCCGAAAGAAAAACACTATATTCTCCTAGAATACTCTTTTAAGTTGCATCAAAAGTGGAGATCAACATGAACTTTCTGAAATGCGTATTTCACCCAAGAGGCTTTTACGCTACCTTAGTTGTATGTACTATGTACATTCAGTTCCGTTAACTGAAGTTCAAAGGTCATGTGATAATAAACTGTTAATAAACATTTCTTTATCTCTGGTTTCCGCGTTTCTGCTTCCTAACATAATACATAAGGAAAGCAACACACTTTGGCAAAATTGTATTTTTGCAAACGCCCTCTGGGAAACTGTTTGTAAAGCTGGAAAGCATGCACGGCGAAACAATAAAATTGGACAAATGCAGTTGTACCAACTAGAAAGTACTGCACTACAGCCATACAATTATTACTATAAGATCGGCAGTCACCCCTGATCTCACAATCAGATAAACCTAAATGGTACAGGAATTGTTGCACAAGCATAATACATATTTTGCGATGATAGTATGAATGATTTCGGATCAGTTAGACATTTTCGTTTGCCAATCTGAACATGCCTGTATTGTACAGGTTATTGTACAGGTTGCCTGCAAACTAGCGAGTGAATTTAATTACTTAGATACTACTTGGTATATGCCGTATAATAATAGGCAGGCATTTCGCCGAGGACAATTAGCCGCAGGACATCTGCTGATTCTGGTCGCGGACACTTCGCTGCTAGGATATCCCGCCGCGTGACATGTAGACGCGGGACATTTACGTCGCAAAAAACAACAAAATGAAACAAAATTTGCATTTATTATGATGAGAAATGCAGTACAAGGGAAATTCATCTGTTAAGGAATGTAATATTATTCTTATTAGCGAAGAAATGATAATGACTTTAACCGGCACCACAGCATAAAGTGAGATCCATTCCCAAGTACGGAAATGTCTTTTCTACATACACACGAACTGGTGTACCAACGCCCACCGAACGCCATAATTAATATTACGCAACTGAACATCATGAGTAAAAATTCGCGGACATGCTGCAGGATGAACAAGATAGCGCACTTAGCGTACATTTACAAAAAGTAACGCACGATTGCCTAGCTTTTTGCATTCAGAACCATGGTTGTGCAGATTGTCTGTCACCCTGTAAAATGATTCCTCCCGATATGAGCTTATTCAATTCGGCACCGAGCGGATGATATATGGATTGACCTTTTCATGACCTATCGGCCAAATCGCAGATGTCCGTAGTCGGTGAAGGAGGCTGAGGGTCCGCGGCGACCGAAGCGCATATGTCCGTAGTCGTTGCCGTATGAAGCGCGTTTCTCGTAGTACGGGGGAAAGTAAGGCGGCAGCATCATCATGTCGGGGTCAGCACGGCCAAAGCGCAGATGACTGTAGTCGTTGTTGAAGCCCTTCGTGAATTTGTCGCGTTTCTCCATATCGCCGGGTCCGTCATACACCTTGACAATGGTCTCATCTTTGCTGCACGAGACTACCGCAATCAGGGCGGCAGCCAGCAGAAGAAGCGCGTACATTGTTTGTGCTGGAGACATTTTGCAGTTCTTTATTGGAATCAATGATCTGCAAAATCAAGAATGTACTGCAATTAATGCCGCATATAAAGGATACGCTGATAATAATAATAATAATTCTCACGCCATTATTAACACCATGAATAAATTATGTATGCGCACATAATGCTTTGTTTTGTGTGTAAGCAAAATATTAATACTTTAGGAGCAAATTTAGGTAGATCATAGCAAATTTTTCTATTTATTGTCATATTAACAAATTACAACACATGCAGGGATACAATTTCTGTACTCTACTGCCGGGTTTCATAATTTCCATAGACATACGGTCACATACCTAGCCTGTTGTCTCAAAAGAGATCAGTTTAAATATTTCTTTATGCTCAATCATATTAGCTGATGTCATTCAAAATACAAACACAAATTTTCAAAAAATCTGCGGTACGTTTTGACTTTCAGAGAACGAAAAAATCATCAACTATTGTAAGTTGTTGCTACTCTTCGTAAAATCTATATGCATCATAGTATAAATAAATCAAATGCTTCGATTAAGTGCTAAAATTAACGCATACGCAAACCGCTGTTGAATATTTTATTTAACTGTGCTTTTTACAAACTGTTATACAATAAAAACGCACTTCAGGCCAGAAGTCCCACAACAGATGAAGATGGAGTGGCATAAATATTTAATAAGCCGATATTTTAATGATTTATTTATGAAGTCATCTCATACTATTATTACGAAATTTATTAGTCTATCTGACGTCGCTATTATTTTCGTCTACTTTCGCGTAAATGCTTTCCAGTGTAATGAGCAAAATTAAAATCACATCTTTTACTGTGGCAATTAGAATTAAAAATGGCGATAAAATTGTCGTCGGTATTTATTCACGAGGTTATTGGTAAAACCCTAAAATGTTCTACAGATATTCTATGTAATTATTTGCTTTAACCCGGCACCAAAGCTGATATCGATCTTGCTGCGGCCTTTGACAAATAAAGGAAACGAGCTTCATCAGCGCCGTTGTGCGAAGGTGTCGACCGGTATACAGCAAAATCAGCCTTTGATTCTCATAATTTGGGAGAGAAGATCGGTGGCTGTATAAATCATCCGGGAAATGGTATTAAATTCTACCTCCTGATCCTCGCATAATCGGCCAATTATCCCAGACTCGTCATGATTCTGACAGAGGTTAATGGTGCCTCTTAAAAATGTCACGTGTGACGCGTATGCGAAAGCTCAGATTGTGCAAAAACATCGCAAGAAATGCACAGTCGGAACGAAAACAACCTATTGACCAAAGGATTATCATACCTTATTTGCGCCGAATTGTTAAGAAAATTCTTTAAGCAGAACATCTCAGTTACGAGAAAACTCCACAGTATCAGACCTCTAAGGAATTAAATAACAAGGCTGCACGCCAAGTTCTCAATGGGAATTATAGCGGAAATAAAGCTGTATAATTACGGAATGGGTCTTCCGCGTATCATTTTCAGAATCACTCACAATTAATAAAAATTGTATGTAAGTGCTCTCGAGCATAATATAATGTAAAATTCTCAAAATAACGCCAGCAGTTTTTTTATAAGAATTTGTAGATTAGACTTTCTGCTTGCACACACTTATTTTTAGACAGGCATTTGCTATACAAGAAAATCATCCAACGAAACCGCGTTTGCTTTAACCGAAACGTGCATTGATTAACCAAGTACTGCTTAAGCTACAGTTGTCGATAATTCAGTTAGTGGTCGATAATGTTTTGGCTAGCGGAGAATATACATACACATAATAAATGTATGAATAATTAAGTGAAATATGCCGTATATGTTAACAACCATTCTCATTGTAACGCCCTAGATATACCAATATGTTCGGTTCAGAGTTACTGTACATACAGCTACGCAGATTGGTTCTCAGAAGAATTTGTATTACCACAAAAAACTACCTAGCAAAAGATCAGTTGCCATCCTTAGGAAAACCGATAACGGTAACTGCGATTAAATACCAAAGACTATGCTACTTTAAATTATGCTTGTGACCTTTAAATAAAGCTAGCTGTATGTTGAAAACAGTCACGGGTTGAAAACTTTCTATTACACATGCGTAACCTTTTATCTGCTGATTCTTTACGTACAGGAAATTACTTACCGGTCAGTGGTCGCAGCGTGACAACCACCAGGAAATCCTCCAGACGATGTAATTCCCCAACTTCAACCGATAAATACCGGCTTTGGATTATGGGTACAATGAGCCTTAAGAAAAAATTGCCGGCAAACGCGTGTATCCTCCAAGTCTCTCACAGCCAACACACTGATCCACACTGGATCGCTGCAGGATCCCGCTATATATACGCGTTGTACTGCCTTGTCGCCCCGCCCCCCATCCCAGCTGATGACGTCGAAGCCCCGCGCCAACTGTAAAAAGTGACATCAATCCCGATTTATCAATAGTGTCCCTTAAGGGCATTCAATTCCTCTTTCAAGGCCAATCTGGCCCCTGATGCTCCCCAGCACCCTGGCTCCGATCTCTGTATGCGCTCCCAATCAGAGCTGACGACCATATTGAGCTAATAGTGTAGTCCGTCAAATGAGGCGTAAATTGTATGGTGGCGACACATTGCCGGCGTTTGTCTTTGGACATGATGCGTCGCGATGCGCTCATTGCTGCTATCGGTCTTATGCGGATCATCATGCCGGCAGCGTGTGCCTTATTTTAATTACAATACTTCGTTTAAATTTCCATTGACACCCATCAACTTCCGCCTGTAATGAAGCTATGAATGCCGGCATCACGCTGCATATGCTCCGGGATGTGGCTCCAGTGCGGGATGCAGATGGAGAAGGCACTCAGCGTGTCTTTTCAAGAGGGGAATCTTCATGCCGGCCTATTCCGGCTAAGAGTTAATTATCAGGGTCAAATAGATGTTATCCTTGAATTAAGGAGTGTCACTCCTCAACAAGCTTCGTCGACAGTTCTCTACTGACGGACTCGGTTTACGTATAGGGCCTGTTATGGTATTTTCCAAAAACGCTTATATTTGTTAAACTGCTTCCGTTACAAAACGAAATGTATCTGTCTGCAAATTTCGAAGCAAATTTGCCGCCGTCAAACGGGAAACGGTGAATTAGTCGATGAAACCTCCAGTAGTAAATCTTAACAAGTTGCACGGTATCGAGTATTACGTGCTCCAGCAGACTGCTTAGGTGAGTTAGGTCTAATAACTGAAACAACTACAGGAGCCGTATAACAATCCAGATTTCTGTAGTTACTGTATATTGTTGTTTTAATAAATACAACCATGCCGATACTGGTTGCAAATAGACTCGCATCGTAAAGCTAGGTATAATTTCTACATGTTGATACGAACTACAGTACTTACAGTTGTTTGACTACAGAGTACAGAGTACGTCTGCTATATACAGAGTACGTAGTGTAGTAACACAAAACGGTGAAGCGCACCATAATATACTGCCGCTTTCCCAAAATGCTCATATTACGGTATACGGCTTAAATTTGATGTTGTAAAAAATTGTTAACAGCGTGGAACAGACTTTTTACGCTGTCACTATTGGTCTAATGGGCTTTTAGCGATTCTGCACCTTTTTACATGCTCTTTAAATTAATATTTTTCGTTTTGCGGTTTTTTGATGGTTTGGTTCTGTTAGCACTCATTTAGTTCTAAATCATGAATTTTTGAACCCCGCCATTGTTATCTCGATGTTGTTATACAACAGATATTTCTGTAATCTGAAGTGAAAGAAACAGAACAAGAAAAATTCTTAGCTTTGGGGAAATTCCATTCTGACGATAATTTAGTTAGAGAAATTAGAACTACGACCAGGGTTTTTAATATGACAAGTTTATTCTAGATGGATCTTGATTACAGATATACATCTCTCAAATTTTAAGCTAAGCCGGCTGCACTTCATACTATTTTGCAGCATCAAGGGTAGTAGCTAAAAGACTGTATCAATAATACTAAACAGCAAAAACCGCCTTTTCAATCGGAAAATACTTGTGCTTTGTTGCAACGAGTGTTTGTCGCCCCAGTAAAAAGGTCAATCTTAATATAAATTAATTATCAAACACTCAGCCGAGTTCATCCTCTCTGCATTGTCGCCTCATGTTTGATATATTGGTCCTGTGGCCTGCATAGAGCAATTCTCGCCTATTTTATATCGATTATCTTTTAATAAATAAATATGATCTCAACCCGGAATGGTCTTTTCTAAGAGCCACAACAGCACGCACACAGCTTTTCACCCAGCCGAGCAGCGAAATCAATAATCCGCACGACAAACATAAAAAGCGCAACCGTGTGCTGATTGTGCATTTAGCGCTGTGCACCGACATTTTTTTCTCCCTTTCAGAGCACAGCCCGCTCCTACAAAAGCAGTATGACGTCGGCGCCTACTAATTATATGCGAATCAAGGCGCATGTGAAAACACTGGCCGGCGCGCTAATGAATCAATTCGGCAAGCAAACACGCCCCGAAAGGTCACCGCCCAGCTGAGCGTACAATGGACGCGTGTGTGTATGTGTGTGTCAATTACTGTGCGAGAAAAAGTAGCCAGCGCTAAGTGTTCCCATACAGGCATTTCGATTTACACTCGCACCCCATGGGAGCTCCGAATAAGGAGCCAACTGTTGACACACGCGCACATCGTACTAAGTGGCCTTTTACATGCTGATTACATTGCAGCGCTCCAAAGACACATAGTCTCCATTCAATCCGTCTATCATGATTATGTATAGACCATTCATTGGGAGCTTCTGTTTCATTTTCCAGGCTATTCATCATTCGTCTTATCTGATTTAAACCCGTATGTTGCCAACTGTCGTGATGTGCCGGTTTAATTGCAGGAATGACGTTTTCGCATACATAACGTAACTGTATTGTACAGGGTTGGGTAGTGAGTTGCGCGCCCTACGCTAGGGTGGGCCAACGCACTCGGCCACAGCGACACGTAGTATTTCCGGTACTGGGGGAATGTTTCTTCCGGTTTGGCGATAATGTTGCGGTGCGGGGCTTAGCACGCGAACGGCGCCCCGGAACGATTGCATGCGGGACTGGGAATATGCGTTTTACACTTAATGCCGGATATTTACGATAAACTCCGTTGCTCTTAATATTTTCAATAGAGGTTTCTTGGTGCTCTTAACATTTCTTCGGAAGTTTCGTAGCCGACTCGAATTTCTTAGGTAAATTTAAGATCGTAATAGGCTATAATGATAACCGGTGGTGGAGTAGGTAAAGTAAGCAAATTTCCTCCATAACATGCGAAAAAGTAGGATACTCAAGTAAAACAAGAAAAGACCCTCGGAACGCGCTAAAAATAAGCTATCTATGGCTAAAGGTTAACATGAATCATTTGAGCAGGTTGCCGGCGTAAAAACATTCCATGTTTCCGTAAAACACTGACGTTTGCAGACCACCTGGACTTTCACGTTGACACAAAACCGTTTCCATCTGGATAAATTAGCGTATGCCGGCGTAAGGCGACAGAAGGACACAAGATGCCATTGCTTTTTTAGCAGCGTATTGCGCACGCAAAGAGCCAGTAATTTCAGCCGGATGCCGGGACAACGATTTGAAAACGCGGCGAACGTTACAAGCATTTTTTATTCAAATCAAAGCAAGGTGCCAATAAATTCACACACCTAGGTCGGAAAGGATAATACACTTAGACTAAGTAAAAAGCAAACACCTATTCCAACTAAAACAACTATAAGTTCGGCAAACAAGCGATACAATGCGTAGTTGAGTGGTCCATATTGCTCATCTAAATCTGGGATGTTGAACGACAGCTTGTATCATAGCAGTTCAGTTGCTGTTCCCCAGCAGACTTCCTCGAACCATAATAATTTTTCCTAGCTCGACCCAGCAGAATTAAATTCGATCTTATAGAAAACGCTGGGATATTTCTCGCTCGAGCTCGAAAAATTGACTGATAAATGCGAGTTACTATACGTAGACCGTGTAGACTATCAGCCTACGAGCCTATGTTAAAACTTCCTTTGAACATACGCATTGATAATCCTCCTGAGAATACACTATACGTACACACAGTCTTTGCATTCCAAAATAGGACTGTTAAAAGTATAAAAAACCGATGAATTAAACTGGAATAAAACTTTTAAATCGGGATAAAGCATGGCTAGTTTATTTAGCGGGTAGTAATACTTCTGCATGCACAAATGCAAACGCGATACAAATTCAGGGAAATTTGTGTAATATACACTCTGCACATAGAGTGAACGAAACGTAAGAAATATGTTTGTCCATTTAATTAATTTAGCCATAACACAGCACCAAATCAGTGAAAAACCCTATAATTGTTGTGACAGGCAAGCGCAGGGGGCTCACAGGTGCCTTTATTGTACAAATAAAGGGGAGCAAATACCGCGTGATTGCGGGGAAAAACACAACAAAGCCAATGTCTGGCAGAAATGAGCAGTCAAGTTGCTGCGAGCTAGTTCTAGAGCGTAATGAAATGTAGAGAAAGAAATGTGCTGGCGGCAACGGCGTCACGCTGTCCAGACACATGGAATGTGAGTGCGCAGACTGGACTCGTATCCAACGCGAGCGAATATACGCTGAGTCATACAGCGAGAGAGGAGCGAGAGAGCAAGTATGCTCAGTGAGTGCGCCCGCGGTGTATCCGCATAGGCGGAGAGTGCAGTGCAGCCACTCACGTACGTACAAGAGAGGGCGAATCAGCATGTGTGCAGTGATACGCATACGCAAAGTGGCGTATCTATCACGCAGGCTGTCGTGCCTCTAACATGCCTCTGGGCGGGAATCCGAGCTCCTGCGAGGATGCTCAGACTCAGTACCGCACCAGCGTCGCACCTCTCCGGTCGACCCATGTGGGGTCGCCGGTACGCGTCCTCTTCCGGCGGGAGTCCGGTGTCTGTTGACCGTCCCATCCTTCACTTCCAGATCCATGAGAGGCAAGCAACTCACGGCCGCAAATCTGGAAGCCGCTCGGGGTTCGTTGTTGGACCGGTATTGCTTCTGTTGGCCTGGCATCTTGCTTCTGTTGGCTCGCGGAGAAAGTAAAAGAAAAGTAATGACGGTTAAACAGCGCGAAGTAAAAAGTAATAAAGTTTAATCACAATTCCAGTGAGCAAAAAGTAAATGCAAAACAGATCTGGTTAGAGATTCTAAGTAAAATACAATTCCGTTTGTTAGAAAATGTACAAAAATACTAAAAAAGAGATCTGTCCGGGGGCTTATTCCGACTAGGATGACGTCCACGGGTCTTGAGTTTCCACGGGGTCTCCTGTCTAAATGCAATCCGGTGTATCAGGTCCGGGGCGTCGGTTCCCGGGTTACCCAACGTAACCGGTAAATTCGTCCGAGGTCGGGTAAGCACGGCTGACACTTACGTCCGACTCGTATTCATCCGTTCCGGAGTGAGAGGCACTGTCGCTGTTGCGAATGCCGAAGC